CACTGGCATCTGGGGCAACGAACCCATCAGCTATTACAGCAACTAGACTCCGGAAGCATTTGGCTACTCTCACACAATTATTTGATATGTCTGAGAATGATTTGGAGCAGCTGGCTAGTTTTATGGGACATACCATTGGCGTACATCGGGAAAACTATCGTTTACCAAATGATGTATACCAAACAGCCAAGATTTCAAAACTTCTGCTTTTAATGGAAAAAGGACAAGCTGCTCAGTTTAAAGGAAAAGCCCTGAATGATATTAATTTAAATTTGGAAGAAGACTTGATGCTTGCTAACGAAGAACAAAGCGAACGTTGTGAATCGCCATCTTTGCATTCCGACGTTCCAGAACCGTACAGTTCAAAAATTCCAGAGAAGAAAAATGAATATCTTCCTAAGAAAAATAAACGAGTACTCATTAAGTGGACCGATGAACAGAAAAAAATTGTTTTAAATTTTTTTGCAAATCATATAAAAAACAGAAAACCACCGAAACGAAATGAATGCGAGGAATTGAAAAGGCTCCATACCGAAATATTCTCGAATAAAGATTGGCCGAAAATTAAAGTATTCGTCCAAAACCAGTATCATAAATATAATAACAAATGAAGGAATTTTGTTTTACTTTTCAATGGTTCCTATGAGGACAGATTCTGATTTTATTTTTGTAAGTGTTGTATAACTATTTTCTACACCTTACTTTTGCCTGTTCTTATTTAAGAATAATAAAGTGTATTCTATGTAACAAGGTATTTTTCTACATCCAGCATTTTCATTCATAAAAACTTAATGCACTACCCCTTGTATAATGTAATTTGTAAAACTTATCATGTGGTTATATCTGTTATTCATTTCGCTTTGCCTGGCTTCATACTAAAAGCACATGTAACGTCGTAGGAAATATAGGAAAAAATGAAACACAGTGTGTCCCCAGAAAAAAAACTTTATTCTTCTTTTGATCCATTTTATTGTCAAAATTAGCTTTCAAAAAGCATATAATTTTATTTTGATAACCGCCATGTGATAAAACTCCAAACGCCATCTACTGGTAAGACATTTTCTGATTCTTTATTAACAACTTTTTATTTACAATTTTATATTACAACAAGGGCACTTACCTGCTTCATGTCCATTTGATTTGAAGTTAAAACAAAATCCTTTGTACCTCTTCTTAGGTGTCCGATGTCTTCTTCCTTATGGGGTTATTACTGATAGTCCACATATGGCTCTTGCGAAGCGTTTTTTCCTGAACACCTTTCTTAGATATTGACTGCTAGAAATCGAGTTCAGCAGACCGAGCGCTGAACTTATTTGTAGGTACACTAGCCCGCTGACTTGAAAAATTTGTTTTTACGGGCCCCTTTCACTAAGATTCTTGGCCCCACACTTTGGACCAGCGAAGAAGCACTCACAGAATCCTTCTGTGTTGTCGACGTCCATTAGTACTAAGAATGTATTTTCTTCTCCGGAGTATAGCAGGCTTTATTTAAACACTCTTATGCTGTCCATTTTTCTTGAATCCCCTTGTTTTATACACTCAACCAGATGCCAATCTGATTTCTCTTGTAGAATGGTTATACTAGAACTTGTTGTTACCATTCTGTCATTCATAGAGAAAATAGTTACTGGAATGAATAGATGACTTGGACAAACATATTTACTGACAGATTTGGCAACGTCTCCGGACGCTAGGTAATCCTTAGAGTGAATTTAAAATATATAAATAGGACGCCCAGTCACGGAAATTTAAAAGTTTTGCGTATATTTGGGACGCTCAGTGAGTGTTACAGTGAAAGGAAGCTGAGAAGTCCGTGATGTAAAAAACGATTTTTTCTATGTTTCTGAACAAAACTCTATTGCTTCTCAACACCAACTGCTGTCATATTTTGAAAAATATTCAGCCTATAAAATGCACATACCTTCAGAATTTATAGTGGACGCTCAGATATTGTTTCTTGAAAGGACGCCCGAAAGATAGCGGGATGTATATATATATATATATATATATATATAACTTGAGACGTGGTCATTGTCGTCTAGACCAGTTAGGTGAAAAATTAAAGCTTCCGCCTTTTGTTGGGTACTTCGACAAAATTTAAGCAAAGAGGACTCTTTATACTTTTTTAATTCTCTCTAGCTTTCAATGGACTTTGCCATCATCATCAGGAGCTGCAATTACAATGATAACAGTAGCAACAAAAGTGTAAAATGAATTTAAATTGACTCAACTTACAGTAGTATGTGAGCATGTTGCTAATTGTTGTATACGTATAGGATGAGGGAAACGTCCAGCAACATGGTGAGAGCTGGATAGATGGTACAATGGTCAAAATTATATAAAATATGACAAGAACAAGTTAAAAACAGATTAAAAATTATTTATAAAACATTAGAGCATTACATCGTGAAGCCACTTGATGATTGCACAAAATGGTGGTCATGGAATGATGAGTGAGATGAACAAACAACACAGACATTGACAACCTTCGGCCTTTTGTCAAAGGGTTCATCTCACTCATCATTCCATGACCACCATTTTGTGCAATCATCAAGTGGCTTCACGATGTAATGCTCTAATGTTTTTTAAATAATTTTTAATCTGTTTTTAACTTGTTCTTGTCATATTTTATATAATTTTGACCATTGTACCATCTATCCAGCTCTCACCATGTTACTGGACGTTTCCCTCATCCTATACGTAAACAACAATTAGCAACATCCTCACATACTACTGTAAGTTGAGTCAATTTAAATTCATTTTACACTTTTGTTGCTACTGTTATCATTGTAATTGCAGCTCCTGATGATGATGCCAAAGTCCATTGAAAGCTAGAGAGAATTAAAAAAGTATAAAGTGTCCTCTTTGCTTAAATTTTGTCGAAGTACCCAACAAAAGGCGGAAGCTTTAATTTTTCACCTATGTATATATATATAGATATTATGAATGAATATACATATTTATTAAAATCTAGTGTTGGGATAGGCAGATCTCCTGTTATTTTTTTTTATCTCATCCTACTGTTGAGAGAAATATCCGTCTGGCAATACTGATTACAGCTAACGATTGAACTAGTGACTTCTTACCACCGAACTGAATTATTGCGTCTTGTTTTTGACAGCTCCCATCAACACAACAACACAATGCATCACACCCAGCAAATCAACGACAACTGAGATAACTTACATAACACAAGTTAACGCCGACATGAACGAAACGCAGGGAAAAACTAGAACACTTGACATTTTCCTTTCTAAATAAAAATATTCTACTATAATTATCATGTATGTGATTGATCTAGGAAGTTAGGTAATCGTTCAGCCTTGGTATTGCATATTGCAATACAAAGGCATGTTGATATTGCAGCATTCCGCAGATACCGTTATCACATTACAGATGTTTTCGAATTCAAACCGTGGGAAAACGGTTCAATTAATCCCTCAGCAAAGACAACCACGCAATTACCTTATTAAATTCGTTAAATTTTATAAGCATATATAAGGCATAACCTCCTAAGCCCTAAGGCTTCTAAGATAAAAAAGGTTTGAACTATTTTAGATTTTAAAGTACATAGCACATTCCTCATTTTCAAGGTCAAGTACACTGTTAGCCAAAGATGATCGGGAACCCGAAAAATATATAAAATGAGGTCTAGATGTAACTTTACATCAATTTTTATAATGCAAAACGTCCAAAATAACCTATCACCTATCAGGTTGATATTTGTGACAGAGGCATATCAGCACTGATGAAGACGATGTTAAACCATATGCCCTATTTCCATCGCAACAGCCATATTGCTAAGCTTTGACGTTTCGTAAAATCTAAGAATGTTTTGCTCAAAATTGGATTATAATAAATAATAAACATAAATGAGCTACACCGGAAAACTGATATAAGTGATTGATGATACTGTCGTCTCGTGAATGTGCATATTGTCAACTATCATGATCGCAAAAATATTCCAATTTGAGGTAATTGGTTACTTTGAACGTTTTGTCTTAGGAGTCTTGATGTAAAACTACTTCTAAACCTCGCTTTCGTATTTTTTTTCGACAGTGTACTTGACCTCAAAAAATTGTCTAATAATAATCCAGGATAATTCAACTTCAACAACTTTTATCGCAGAACCCTTAGAGTTTATTTTCATCAGATATGTATTGTTATGGAGAGATTATGTTGTACGCATTGAGACGATCTAGAATCTAGGCATAAGCTATTTGTACTAAAATTGTATATATATATATATATATATATATATATATATATATATTCGCCCATCATAGAATGTGAGTACCCCCCATGTAAAATTTACATACAAAGTAAGAACCACGACAAAGTGAGGTCCGTATACGGACCTCACCTTGCCAGACTCTATGTGTCGTGTTCCACAAGCTCCAATCATTAAGAAAACGTGAAAAAAAGATGGTCCTCAGTTTGTACCCAGCACGTTCAAATTTGTATATCGTACTAGGACGTGCCACCGCACCCGGCGCTGTGCGCGCGGAATATATTTTCCGTACGTATATATTTTGCAGTCAATAGAAAACCGTGCGACGCACCAAGTGAGGACCGCAAGCAAGGCAACAACGGTCGGACCTACAATGGAGGCAACACACATCACAAATCTCTTTCCCTTGATCGATAATGTGTCAATAATGTCAATCTCACACGTCATTAAGTCATTGTTGGTCGGCTTTAGCATGTGGTAAAGATGAAGAGGCCCCGTAAAAGATGAAGCTTTGAAAGAATTTATTTTCGGATCAGTAAACAGTTTTTGTATTGAAAGAATCTCTAAATTAAAATGTCAGAAATGTCCTTCAGATGTATTGTCTGTTGAACCTAAAAATAACCCTTTTGAAATCGGCATATTATAAAAACGTTTTTCTATCGTCCTCTCGGAATCTTTGTGATTTTAGGCAATTCTTCAATACCCTTCTCCAGATCTGCGTAGACGTAGATACATTTTTTGAGAATATCCGTTTCCAAAGTTCACTCACCATTGAAGTACACCTTTTCTCCAACATTTCCCTGGCTCGTCGGTATATCCACGATCCTGACGTTATCCGGATCGAACGCTTGGCAAGTAAACGGACTCCCAGACAGATGCTTCCCTTGGTGCAAAACTTCCACCTTGTGCGCCCCAACTTCTCTGGTCGTGAACTCCGCCTGGAGTTTCCCTGTCTTCGTCTGGTAGCAACGCACCGGGACTGCAGATCCTGTCGGACTGCTGATGACCACGTCGAATTCCCGACCTGGCCGACCTAGCGTCTCGATGTGGAAGGAGGTCACTTTTCCTATTCTTGCCTGGTATAAACCTAGGAAAGGAAATTAAAACATGTATTGGCCAACGGTTAACGAAATTGCATTGCTATGGATTTCAAGGTGCAGTATTATTGCAAAATTATTTCATCAATAGAAGTCAAAGAACTAAAATTGGCAATACATTATCGAACATTAAGAACATTTCGGTAGGTGTGCCACAGGATAGCAAATTAGGTCCATTACTATTTATTTTATATATTAACGATATTCATGATATTTTACAATACTGCAAAATTCAACTGATGATACATTAATATATATATATATATATATATATATATAACTTGAGACGTGGTCATTGTCGTCTGACCAGTTAGGTGAAAAATTAAAGCTTCCGCCTTTTGTTGGGTACTTTGACAAAATTTAAGCAAAGAGGACTCTTTATACTTTTTTAATTCTCTCTAGCTTTCAATGGACTTTGCCATCATCATCAAGAGCTGCAATTACAATGATAACAGTAGCAACAAAAGTGTAAAATGAATTTAAATTGAATCAACTTACTTCAACGAAAACAACAATTAGCAACATCCTCACATACTACTGTAAGTTGATTCAATTTAAATTCATTTTACACTTTTGTTGCTACTGTTATCATTGTAATTGCAGCTCCTGATGATGATGGCAAAGTCCATTGAAAGCTAGAGAGAATTAAAAAAAGTATAAAGAGTCCTCTTTGCTTAAATTTTGTCGAAGTATCCAACAAAAGGCGGAAGCTTTAATTTTTCACCTATATATATATATATATATATATATCAAATAAAGACATTGGAACTGCAATAGAGCTGTTAAATAATGATATGAAAAACGTAATAAATTGGTTAAATGTAAATAAACTTAAACTAAACACAAACAAAACAAAATATATGCTAATAGGAAAGTCTTTAGATCAAAATACGACGATAAAACTTACAATTAATCATGAAAAAATTGTGTCAATCGAGTCATTTTAATATTTGTGCATTGTAATAATCTGCTTCCTCTGTTCCATGCAAAACAACCTAAGAATTTTCACTTACCGAGGCCTCCAGCCCATGGTTCGTTCCCCGGTCCTTTCACGGGGACTTCCAATACTCCAAACTTCGGAACTCCATTGTAGAATAGAGTGACACGATGTGGAGCGGCTTGTGTGGGGTGGAAAACGATTTCCCACATATTCGCATTAGAAGGACTTTGTCTCACGCTATGCGCTACTTCCCTGTTTCCAACCTAAAAAGTAAATACTTATATCAAAATGATTATCGAAATTGAAGAGGCAGATTTTGCAGAATTATTAGTATTTATCCAAATGAATTGATGAATAGATAGATTCAGGCGAAAAGATGTATTCACATGGCTATGAACAGCACTTTGCAAATTTTTGATAGTCCCAATATTTCTTAAAAGATAACTCTTGTTTTGCACCGTTGATTTTTCTCATGGTCACAATACTGGACATCATTATCATTACTATAACATCTTACCTTTATGGCAGCAGTCAATTTTCCGGGTCCAACCTTGGTCATATTGATACCGATAACGGCTGGTCTATGGCACACTGCTTCTGGAGCATTAATTATGTCTATTTTCGTTGTGTCGAACACATGGAGTGTCCTTGTCGCTATCACTTCGTTGTCCTTGATTATGTGAACCCTGCGGAATAAAAACACTATTAACTACATCGGGATCTCCTCTCCAATCCACACCTTTGCTAATGACAGCAATATCATCAAAAAAATGAGCTTGCGTAGCCTTGTTATCATCTAAATCTGCATTGTAAAGAAAACATAACAATGGCCCCAGCACTGAGGCTTGTGGTACACTTGATTAAATATATTATTATATTGAAATTTGATTTTTGATATTTACTTTTTGCATCCTTCCTCAGATATAGCCTATCAAAGTTGCAGAAAACTTCATCAAAGCCATGGTAGTGACACTCGGCAATAAGTATTCGATTGTTAACCGTATCGAAGGCCTTGGAAAAGTCTAACAATACCAGCAAACTCATGTGTTACTCTCAATGGAAGGTATGCTATCTGTGAGATAAGATAGGGATGTAGTTGTACTACGGTTTTTCTGAAAGCCTGACTGATGGGTGGAGATTATATTGTACGTATTGAGACGATCTAGAATCTAGGCATAAGCTATTTGTGCTAAAATTATCTCTCTGTATATATATATAAATATATATGTATATATATATATATATATATTCGCCCACCATAGAATGTGAGGACCCCCATGTAAAATTTACATACAAAGTAAGGACCGCGACAAAGTGAGGTCCGTGTACGGACCTGACCTTGCCGGACTTAATATGCTGTGTACCCCAACCTCCAATCAATAAGAAAACGTGAAAAAAAGATGGTCTTCAGTTTGTACCCAGCACGTTAAAATTTGTATATCGTACTTGGGCGTTCCGCCGCACCCGGCGCTGCGCGCAAAAACCGAACGACGCACCAAGTAAGGACCGAAAGCAAGGCAACAATGGTCGGGTCGGTCCTGCAATGCAGGCAACACACATCACAAATATCTTTCCTTTGATCGATGGCGTGTCAATAATGTCAATCTCACACGTCGCTAAGTCATTGTCAGTCGGCATACATATATATATATATATATGTACGTATATATATATATATATATATATATATATTCTCCCACCATACAATGTGAGGACAAAATGAGATCCGTATACGGACCTCACCTTGCCAGACACTAAGTACCGTGTTCCCCAACCTCCAAGCATTAAAAAAACGTGGAAAAAAGATGGCCCTCAGTTTGTATCCAGCACGTTAAAATTTGTATATCGTACATGGGCATTCCGCCGCGCCCGGCGCTGCGCGCGAGAAATATATTTTCCGTACGTGTATATTTTGCAATCAATATAAAACCGAGCGACGCACCAAATGAGGACCGCAAGCAAGGCAACAACGGTCGGGCCTGCAATGTAGGCAACACACATCACAAATATGTTTCCCTTGATCGATGGTGTGTCAATAATGTGAATCTCACACGTCGCTAAGCCATTGTTAGTCGGCTTTAGCATGTGGTAAAGATGAAGGGGTTCCGGAAAAGATGCATCTTAGTGGTTTTTTGAAAAAACAATGTTATGGTTTTACCAATAAATAATAACTAAAAAATTCTTCCTAATTTAACCTCAACAATCCAGTTTTTTGTTCGTTGACTATGTCTTCTCTTCTACTTTCGTCTTAGAACAATTTCAGCAACAATCTCGCCGACTTCATAAAACAGAGTTAAAGTTATACCTGTATGTTCCAGTCTGAGTCAAGCTAAACTCCCCCTTGTAGTTGTTGACCACGTATTTCACATGGTGATTGTTCGGGTCGCTGATCTCAATCCTGTGACTGTCACTTGGCAGGTCAATGTAGGCCGTGGATCCAACTTGAAAGTATTGCGTGGACTCGATGACGGTGCAATGGAATGGACTTCCGGTGACTGTCATCTCGTTGAAGGTGATGTTGACGAAGTGGTCTTCTGCCGTCAGGGGTACGAACGTGACGTCGTACAGACCTCGGGCGCATGCTACCACTTCCGCTTTGATGGTGGTGTGCTGAGTAGAGACGACGAGTTCCAAGGTGCCTACAAAGAACTTTCATAAAGCGGAATCTAATCTTACTTGACGTTTTTTTGTGAATTTCTCAAGTATAATGTCTGTTCAAACAACTCAAATCGGTCCTGAAGGTATCTTAAAAATGTGTTTTAAGAAGAAAACAAATTATGAGTCTAAAAATACGTGTACTGAATATTGGGACACCATTATAAAAATCTAAGACATTCTTAGCAGTACGTAATGACAGCTTCCAAAATCGCACGTACCTTCCCCAGCTTGAGCGGCATCCACGCTGAACGTAACAGGTTTTCCAACCTCTGCGGGTCCCAATTCCCTCAAACTGATCTCGTTGAGCGCTCTGGTGATGTCTCCTTTCCTTCCGGGCAATCCGGTCACGATGACTTTGTTGACGTCGTATACGTTGCAGCTGAAAGGGGAACCGATCACGTGTTGATCGTTGATCAAAATGGCGACTGAGTGACGGCCTACTGTCTCCGGGACGAATCTTGCGATGTACGTGTCGTCGTTTACTATCAGCTTCGTCGGCAGGATTTTGCCGGTCGGCGCTGTGGCTATCACTTGAGGTTCACCGGCTACGGAGAAAATAAAAGTGGAATTCTTCAGGAAGCAATAATAGAGTTCGACCCGGTCGAGCATCAAAGTAGGGCAGACCATGCAACGCTTTCATGCTACCAGAATGTGTCGTAATAATGTAACAACGTTTATACTCTGGGCGCTGAAGAAAGACATTAAACGTAAACAGTGATCAGCACGTGAACAGATCCCTCGAAAGCATCCACGGATATACTCCAGTCACTTTAGGTCTAAACATCCTCGGCAGTGTATTTCTAGTGAATCCACAGACCCTTTTTCGTGTCATCTTGAGACTAGAAAAAGGATGACTGTTAAAATAAGTTACCTTGATCTTTCATGAGCTCCCAGTACAAAACATCATCGATATATTTTTGATGTAGGAACAACAAATTGGTTTAGAAAACATCCACTTTGAACCTAAATTGACTGGAGTAACATCGATCTACAGACAAATTCAAGGTCACTAGCAGTCGTCGGCGCTCTACGAATCTGCACAGGTTTGGACTTGTAAACGTGATTGTAGATGACACGACAGGCATCTAACAGTTAATTCACGCACAGGATTGCATTGCATACGCATTACGCATTCAGTAGCGTATACTCGTTTTTCGCGAGTGGAACGTTTTGTTTATATATTGCCTAAGATACGATGTCTGACACAGATACAGCCGACGAAGTGGTTGACATCAGCGCAACCCCACCCAAAAAAAGGGCTAAGCAGCTACATTTAAGTGCAAATGAAAAACAAATAATATTAAATATATACAAAAACCAAATTCAAGAAAAACCCGATTTGGTCGTGGACGAAGTTATATGTAAGGTAGCACATATTTCTGGAGTATGTTGGTCCAGTGTTTATAGGATCATTAAGGAATATAGGAGCACTCACTCACTTTCTGAGCCAAAACCGTATCCTGCATGAAAAAGGATAACGGACGGAGTAGATGACTTTGACAGAACTGCCATCAGGAGGAAATTGCATAATTTTTTCTTCCGAAATGAGATACCTACAGTAGATAAGATATTAAGATTAGTTAATGCTGATGAGGATCTTCCATCATTTAAAAGAACCACATTCCGAAAACTTTTGAAGGAACTTAATTTTCGATTCTTGAAACGGGGAAGAAACAGTATGTTAATAGAGAAAGAAGAAATTGTTGTGTGGAGAAGGGAATACCTTAGGAAGATTCGGAAGTTTCGCGATGAAAAAAGAAAAATTTACTATTTGGACGAAACGTGGGTGAATGCTGGACATACTCAAGCGAAAGTTTGGGTCGACAAATCAGTAACATCATCAAGGCAGGCTTTTCTAGACGGTCTTTCGGCTGGATTGAAAAATCCTGCAGGTAAGCTAAGATAATGTGTGATATTCTCCAAAAATGGTGCATTCTTTTAAGCGTTATTTTGAAATTTATTATCATTTTTGGGTGCAGTCAATTTGCTTTGAATGGGTTTTGAGAAGTTGCAAACTTCAATTTTCTACGTTTTTCAGTTTTTGATCAGCATTCCGTGACTCTTAAATTCAGCTAAATGAACTCAATTGCCTCATTCCTTCAAATTTGATCAATCCATAGTGTAAGGAATAATTTATTTCCAGGAAAAGGCAAACGGCTGATCATTTGTCACGTAGGTAGTGAAGACGGCTTTGTTCCCGAAGCACTGTGGGCCTTTGAATAAAAAAAGACAGGGGACTATCATGAGGAGATGGACGGCAATTCCTTTGAAAATTGGTTCTCCAAAATGTTACTAAAGCTGGAGAATAACGCTGTTATTGTACTGGATAATGCCCCGTACCATTCTAGAAAAATAGAAAAAATTCCCACAATGGCAACTAAAAAAGCAATGGCTGGCCTCAAAACAGATCGATTTTGATGAAACAATGGTCAAGGGTGAATTGATAAGTATAGTCAATAGACATAAATACAAATACGATTTTAAAATGATCGACGAAATGGCCAAAAAACAAAATAAAACTGTCTTGAGACTGCCACCCTACCATTGTGAGCTGAACCCTATTGAGCTGATTTGGGCCAACATAAAGCAATACGTGGCGTCGAATAATAATACTTATAAATTTTCTGATGTTAAAAATCTCTTTCACATCGCAGTCAATAGAGTTACGGCAGAGGAATGGAAAAACTGTATCCGCCACGTTCGGGAGAAGGTTGAGGTCAAAATGTGGGATTTGGACAATGTCATCGATACCCAAATTGAACCTCTAATAATTCATTTAAACGATTCAGAATATTCAAGTTCCTCTTCTGAATGAGTGCGCGCAGCTTACTTACTAATAACTAATCACTCATTTGTGAATCTCTAACTGAAATTTACTGTAAAAGATAATAATTATCTTGTATGAAATTTTTGATGACTACCCATAATATCTTGATGCGGTCCTGTAATGTCTCCTGCGCCTAAACACTCACTCACGAGCAATATGGGTGTATTTGTTTGGGTTTAGTTTCTTTCTTCAGCGCCTAGAGTATAGGCAACCAGAATTACGTGATCGCACATGCAGAACATTCGACAAGCATCGAGAAATATCGACCGGCATGTACCGGCTTCGCCGAAGACACGATTTTTGTCTGGAAAACGCGGAAGCGTCTCTGGATTCGTCGATACAGAAATAAATACATTAACAGAGTCGATCTGGTCAAAAATTTGTAATATATCAGTGTGAGAGTTTAAATATACAAATTCAAAAACTAAAATACGAAAAGGTAAGTTGCTGATTAATTTGAGAGCTGGCAACTTACGCTGCTTTCAACATACGATCATGAGTATTCCTGGAGCGGCAAAGTACCAATTTGCGCCGTCAATGCACATTTTCCCACTGAACGAATTGGTTCTAACCCGAGAATTGAACTACGTAGACGAGTAATGGGTGACAAAATAGGTAGGAGATCAAACTAATAACAAGATGAACTGTTATATATTCAGAAACATACCTGTGACTCCCTCGATCTTAATTTCAGCATTCTGTCCCACAGCAACTAGTTCGATTCCGTTTCCTGAAACTGGTACCCTAGGTTGCGTGTTGCCCGGACTTACTTTGCAACTGAAAGGTGAGCCAGGTACTGGCTGTCCATTGAACCTGAGAAGAACAGAAAAAACGGTCATCGCGTAAAAATGGAGTGAATCAGCACTTTCCTACATATCAATATAAAAGGATTCAACATGCCAGCGTTCTTGAAGAAAAGCGGAATATAAGACTTCAAAGTCTTCTAATCCCTGAAAAAATTTGGTAGCTATGCCCTACTATGCTCAAAAACCAGAAACTTGGAAAACTTGGATAACGGCGTTTGGGGGCGTTGTGAATTTTTTCAATGTTTACCTGTTAGTCCATCGCCATTAACAAATAAATGGCTTTAATTTTTTTATAAGTTATTCCAAAATTTGTAGTCAGTAAGTAAGTAAATTTCATTAAATTATATATTTAAAACACACATGACAACAGCGCGTAGGCTTTTCATCACTCTTATCGAACCGGCAATCGATCGCAAACGGTAACAGTGATTAGTTATCGTTTTGCATAGATAAATTACTTTAAAGTTTTGCCGAGCAGAGCATCGGGAGTGTTGTTTTGTTTTTGTTCGCGTACGTCGTCGTGTTTATTTACGATGTTCTCGAATCAAGAGTTCGCCGACATGTTGTTAGTTTACGGTGAAGCTCGTCAGAATTCAAATCTTGCAGCTATATATTTCGCCAACGGGTTACAAAGTTATGAAGAAAGAGCTCGATGTTACGTTTGACTTACCTAACGCTCAACGTATGAGTAGCAGCCTCAGTAGGCTTGAAGTTGACCTTGAACCTAGCGTTCCCCTCGCTCTGCACGAAGTTGGGCACGTTCCTGCCTCCCACCGCGACGATAATCTCCAGGTTCCCCGCGCCAGCTTGGGAGGCGTTGATGCTGAAGGACACCGGTTTGCCGACGACGCCATCCGTGATGTCAGTCACAGTGACTCTGTTCGCGTCGTACGCCTTGATCAGGAACGGGCTGCCCTCCACGTGACCTGAAGGCAACCGCACCTCCACGCTGTGGTCTCCAACGTCCAGCGGAGTGAAGGTCACCTCGAATTTGCCCACGGTGTTCTCTTGAGGCGTCACCTGGAGGTGAGAAGAAATACGATTACGAAGATATTTGCTATGTCTTCACCTGAGGCCAAACCTTTACCATTATTGTTATTATTAATACCTACCTTCGTGACCAACGCTCTTCTCGCAGGTCCCAAAACTTCCACAGTAGGCGGACTCGGACTTTCCACGACGAACGTGCAAGGTCTTCCAACGGACACCTTGTCCAAGGCTTCAGGTGCGACAATTCTAGCCGCTGGAGAGACGTTGCATCTGAAGGGACTTCCCGGCACATCTTGACCGTTAAATCGAAGCTCCACGGAGTGGACTGTGGGCTCTCTTGGCGTGAATGAGATCGCGTACGTGTGTGGCCCTTGGGCTTGGGCAGAAGTTGGTACCAGGCCGCCGTTCACGGTTACTTCCAGGTTCCCCGGACCAGCTTGGCTTGTTTCCACTAGAACGATATCAGTCAACTGGTATTTATCATGCGTTCAAGCGATGCAGTTGTTGTATAGTTGAGTCGTTTATTTTAACCCTGTATATCGATTTTGACAGGTTGGGTCAGGTGGGCAAACTTATAAATGATGGCTTAGATCGTCCAGTTTTTCTATTTTTGAGTCATACTTATCTGACAGAAGGCAGTTCGTTTCATATATCATTCTTATGAATACGCTTGCATATTGGAGGTTCCGCAGGGATCAAATCTTGGCCCACTGCTTTCCACATTATTTGTAAATGACTTATGTGATAATCTCAGTTGTTAACAAACTTCTTTATGCCGGTGATTTGAAAATATAGTTTTTTAAAGTCTATTTTGCGATGTCGAGTAGAAAATACAAATCAGCGCCTAGATTCCTCCATTAATGACGCCTTTGGTGTCGTTCGCAGAATAAACTATTTGCACACTAGTAGCTATCTACAGGGTTTGGCCGGAAAGTAATAGGACTCATTTTATTCCGCCATAATGTACTTCGGAGCGTGCGCGAACCGTCTGACCAGATGTTAAATTTACCAAAATCTGTGGTTCATGACATCGTGACACAGCATTTGAACATGCGCAAGGTGTGCGCGAAGATGGTCCCAAAAGTGCTCATTGACGACCAGAAATTGCGGCGAGTGGAAGTGTGCCAAGAAAATTTGAACATGTGTGAAATTGACCCCAATTTTTGAATAACGTAATCACAGGTGACGAGTCGTGGATCTTTGAGAATGATCCCGAGACAAAGGGGCAATCTTCCGAGTGGCACACGACGGCGTCTCCTCGCCCAAAAAAGGAAAGAACGAACAAATCCAAAGTGAAAACGATGCTCATTGTCTTTTTTGACATCAAAGGCATCGTCCACCATGAATTTGTCCCTCCTGGACAAACCGTCAACGCCAAGTTTTAGGTGGAAGTGCTTTTTAAATCGACTCAGTCCTATTACTTTCCGGTCCAACCCTGTAGTTGACATGTTATCGGGTTTTTTGACATTATATAGGAGTAATGCCGAGAATACTTACCCAAAAGACGACAGCTGGAAGCAGGCGTGCCCCAGGGGTCAGCCTTAGCCCCCCTGTTCTACAACATCTATACTCACGATGTGCCGAAGACAGCTGACACAATGCTGGCCCTATATGCAGACGACACTGCTATAGCCGCCAAGCATAGACGACCCGAGATCATCCGTAGGAGACTACAGTATGAACACAGCCGACGTCAACTACGAGCCGTGATGAAAGAAAGGCAACACCGCGCTCGGACGGCATGGTAGTGCTACCTGTGAACGTCGGCCGGCTGCGGCTGTGTGCTCCGTCTCCGTGTAACGTTCAAGAACTAAATTTAATTTTGGAAAAGAGGACAGTTCGATTCAATACAAATCGTCTGAATATGAAATAGCTCTAAAAAATTTAAAAATACGAAATAATCGTGATATATATGAGTCGCTAATGCAGTTAACCTAATTAAAAGTATTAAGTTTACGTTTTTTTTTGTCAGCACACTGTGTTCCAACAGGCCCAGCTTGGAAATGTGGACTTACCTGTTTGTTTTTAATACATTTACTTTCAGTTTTACTGTTATTTTTCAATTTTACATAATCATTCAAAATTATGTTTAAAAAAATAGACAAAAGCTTAGATAAAATATCTGCATAATTGCGGCCACAGATGCAAGTTAAAGAAAATTCACTGTAAATAAAGTCAGACTGAATGCTGGTCAGGTTAACTGACAAAATAAATTTTTGATTATTGCTTTTCAAGAAGAAAATTTCCAATCTATCTACATTAATAATAGATTCAAAAATGGCATACATATGGTAGAATATGATTGGTACATAACTGGTTGGAATTGACAGTCCTCCTCTTTGCAAATAATCAAAATAAACATTTGTTGTTAATGAACCTTTTTCTTTAACTATTAGCGATTTGCATATCTCGCAGTTTAGGTTTTTAGAGATAGCGTGTGAAGCATATCCAGATATATAAGTCTTAGTACTATCCTCTATGTCACAATTGGCTAAGTAATTTGTCTCAAATAATTCATTGAATATATCCAAAACTTCAGGATTTTGTTTGGTATCCAAGAAATCAAAATTTTCTTGAGTTTCTAAGCAGTTTTGGAACCTTGTTTTAATTTCTGCTAAAGAAAATGACGATTTCTTTTCATTGAAAATATGCTTCAGTCGTATTTTCTTTTCAGCATTTAAAATTTCATCATATGACACATTGTAATTGCAGCCACATAGAAGTCTATAATTGCCAAATCGTTTTTCTAAATTATCAGTGGTGAATTTTCCAGGCAATACATACTCAATGTGAAATTGATTAAATGAATATTCAATTATATTAAGTAGAGTCAGCGTGCTTTGATATAGAGCTGTATACATTTCTGGTGTCAGGTGTCCATTATTATTCTCTAGATTATGCCATTTTTCTAACCATATCAGGAATTTTTAAAAAAATTGTACTCTATAATCATATTTATTGGTAATAGGCTTACAAAATTCGTTTCGCTTCAATTCTCCTTTTATTACACTTGTATTACTGACAATATCCCACCAATTCCTGATTATTTCCAAAAGGTGTGCAGCATCATTAAACTTTAATTCTTTCATAGCAGCTATTGTTGAGTGATGGAATAAATTATCTACAAAATTTACATTTTGCCTTTCAAATGAATTTGGATGCAATGTTTTATAATTTAATTTATATGCTTTCTTAACTACAGCTTCTTTTTCCAATTGATATACAGCACGAATGTTTTCAAATTTAGCATACTGAATAATATCATTATTGTCAAAATTAGGATATACAAAAGTTTTGTCTAGGTTTTTTAAATTAATCCAATTATTTCTGATTCTGAAAATATGCACAACATCATAAGTTAAATATATGTTCTTATCAGGATTATGTGGATTTGGAATAGAATAATTTTCTGATGAATCCTTTGCTAATTTCCTGAACATTGCTCTATTAATTCGGTGATTATCAGTAACAACACAAATAACTTCAAATCCACATTTTTGAACTAAATTTATCACATGTTCAACCAAAGGTGTCATTTCATCACCTGTTAGATTTGAAACTGTCAGTAATTTGATAATTTCTGTTATGTTTCCAAATGCTGAAGGCTAAAACAGTTTTAGCCATGTCATTTTTATTTGAAATTTGAAAAATACAACCAGAATTTGCACGTTTTCAATAGTTGAAATCCTTAGCGTCCTGAGGCGCGAACAGCCACAGTCACACTTCTTAGTTTATTTTTAAAGCACAGAAGCACTACAACTGGAGTCTATTTCTCATATATTATAGTCACCGATCACTTTGAACACATACACACACTTTGAAGTTTAGAAAACAAGCTTATCTCTTAATTACAGCCTCTGCGATTCCAAAATCACAAATTGAAAAGGTTATGTTTTCTCAGCGTTTTGAGCGGCGGGAGTAACACTACCACCTACGTTGCCAGATTTCTTTGTTCACGGCTCGTAGTTGACGTCGGCTGTGGTATGAACTGGACCACATCCAGAACTGGTGCGTGAAATGGAAAATCCGCATCAACGTCCAGAAGACGCAGGCAATCTTCATTCAACGAAGAAGGATTGCAAGACCTCTCGAAGCATCCATCTTCGACGAAGATATCCAGTGGAGCGACAAAGTCAAATATCTGGGGATCGTATTTGACAAGTCCCTCATCTGGAAAGCCCACATAGAAGCTGTCATCGCAAAGACCAGAGCATCCATGGCTCAACTCTACCCATTACTGGGTAGACACAGCCGGATGCCGCTAGCGACCAAGCTACGGCTGATCAAGGCCATCGCCAGACCTCAGCTCGCTTACGCCTCCGCGGTCTGGGGGTACGCTGCCCCCAGCTACCGCAAGCGACTTGCTGCTCTAGAGATGAAGCTACTCCGGATCGCCACCAGTGCACCATCCTACGTAAGAAACTCAACCTTGCGTAGAGACCTGCATTGGGACACCATCCACGAGTACATGAGGAAAAAAGCGGAGAAGACCTTCGAGAAAGGTCAGGACCACCCGAACGAGCAGCTACGATTCCTCATGGACTACGATCCGGACGAGAGGCCTCGCAACCGCAGAACCAGGTACCCCAGACCAAGGTCCCAGTTGGCACCCGCTAACTGGAACCTTGACTAGGAGACTAGGAGAACTCGCGGTTGCTCCCCCCCCCCCCCCCCCCACGGAGTGGATGCAGAGGACCAGGAACCACCGGGACCAGGACCCACCGGGTCCAGGACCAACCAGGACCAGGACCCGCCACGACCAGGACCCACCAGGACCAGGACCGTTCAGGACCAGGACCAGGAACAACATATTGGTAAGAGGACTTGAAACTCTTGATTTTTCGAAAACAAGAGTTTCAAGAGAACCTAGCAGACCCTCTATCGATGATCGCTTAACGACATCGATAGAATGTGCGAGGTAAAGGGAACCAACCCGGCGTTCCCAGAGACTGAAACACATGAGGAGACGTTGTAGCAGACCGCAGGTCACGCACAACACATGGCCTACCGAGACGCTGATGAGTCGGGCCAAGCGGAGGTTTAGGGTTTAGTGGGTATTAGGTGATCTCCTCAAGACCCTGGAGTCCCACACACGCCGTAGTAGTTGGGACTATGGTATGGTGCGTAAAAAAAAAAAAAAAACTTACCCAAGAAGGTGACAGGTTTCCCGACCACTCCCCTCGCAGGCTCCTTCACTCTGATGGCGTTCACGTCGTAAGCCTTCGCCGCGAACGGGCTTCCGGCCACAGGCTGTGATTTGACAGATACAGCGACGCGATGTTCCCCGACGACTCGCGGTATAAATTCAGCTCTAAATTGCCCATCGGCAACTGGTTGGACTTGTGTGGGTACTGCTTGACCTCCTGGGCCTATACATGGGTCAGAGGACGTGTAAAATGGGTTTTGTCGAACGTCGAGGAATTCGATGGCTTAGTGTTGTATAGGAGGCAGTCTAGGGTTGGGGTTAGGGAATGGGAAATCCAAAAGGCATTTTGCGCTCTTTTTTGCAAATTATGTTTTTGTGTTTGGTTATTTAAGGAAAGAAAGCTTGCCGATAAAGATCTCTGGAAGTGGCAACCAGGTCGAAATACTGGACAAACTTGTTAATGCCGCTTTGGTTCAAGAAAAAGATATTCAAGATGGTCCCAAGGGATCAAAAATCCATACTTCATTCTCATATTTTCTTGGGTCAACATTTCGAGAATTGAATGATGTAATAAATATATTAAAATTTTCAAAAGCACTTGAATCAGATGGTATTTAATTAAATGCTATAAAGCATGTTTAATATACAGGGTGGCCCATCGATGTGTGGACGGAATATTACTCATAAACAAATGCATTTTGGGAAAATCTATTTATGGGATGTTATACATAACATTTCTAAAATATTGACCATTATACAGGGTGTCCCAATTTCGACCTACATATCAAAGTTGTGATTTTTCAAATAGGATGCCTCAAATTTTGTTGCATATTTAGATAAACGGATTCAAACGATGAAAAGTGATATAACATACTATGGGATTTTGGTAATTAGCTACTGAGGTATAAGGTGTTTTGTCTAGAAAAACCGCCCAGTTCGGCAGCCCCTCAGTCCGCCATTTTTCAAACTGGAGTGGTGAATCTTGTATCTAAGAAAACCTACACAGCTCAGATTTTATCTTATTTGTTACTTTTTCGCATTTTAATTTTTGCTCATACAGGGTGGTCAAAACCGCAAATTGTAGTTTTTCTCAAAAATTTCAAATTGATCACCCTATATATTTGTGCAAGTTTGGATTCACTTTTTTATAATCTTTTTTTTGATACTGGATACATAAGAGCTTTTACGGCTATTTTTTCAGTTATTAGCACGTCTGTTATGGAAAATATCCTTGGAAACAAATAAATTCTTGATTAGTTACGAACTGTCAAAATTAGCTTTGTGAACATTATAACAAAAACGTGTTTGAAAATGAATTTTTCGAAAGAAAAAATGGTAGGCGAAGCCCAAAGAAATAGTTTCCCAGCATCTCGCATTTATATGCAGCGGTATACTTTATCTGAAGTCACTTGAAACACTGTGAAATACCGGGTGCGTTTTATATATCTATATTTAACACGCTCTGTTGCTGCAAAAATCGCCAGATTTCGCAGCAAATATCCCCCGTATAAGATCAAAGGCAGTTTCACCGGTCCACGTGGAGTAAAGCACGCCTATGCGTGGACATAGCCAATGAGAAAGCGTGTATTTCAGAGCTCCGAACAAGTGCAGGTGGCTACTGAAAATTGAAACAGTTTAGCCAGTGCCGTGTAGCGGTGAATAAACGTGTTTTCTTTAGTCTGTCCGTGTTTTTTCATAGATTTTATTAGTTTGTGTGTTTTTGACTTTTGAATACTCAGTTTACTTGTTGATTTAATTGTTGTGTTGATTGTTCTTGTGTGTCCTAAATCTGGCTCTTGCTCCAAGCCACGAGGAGATGGTTGATGAACCTGTGCAGGCAGAATTCTTTCATAAAGATTTAGAGGAACAGACCCAAAGAGTAATCCTAAATATGTATGATTGTCTGAAAAACGAAAATCCAGATTCCTCGCAAAATCAAATTTTAAACAGAATTTGTATCCTGACAAAAATCAGTCGGTCTACCATTTATCGGGATATAAAAAGGGGAGATGTAGTCAACCATTCCTTCCACAGAAAGCGCATAGGGCAAAAATTAAAAAGAATAGATGTGGGTTTTCAGGAAGATATTCGTCGTATAATATACGGATTTTATAAAGGAAATTTTGGTGCCCACGATGGAAATGATACGGGATAAATTAAAAGATTATCCTGAAGATTTTTATAATTGCAAATGCTTAGACTCGCTGCACTGTATTGTAAAACTGTGTGGTTTTCAATACAAAAAATTAGATAAAAGAATGGTGATTATGGAGTCGTCTCGAATCGTTGAATTGCGCCAAGAATTTTTGCATAAAGTTAAAATCTATAGAGAGCAGAAAAGAAATCTAATTTACCTGGATGAAACGTGGTATGATACCCATGATGTTGTGCAGTACGGCTGGGTTGACGACAGCAACAAGTGCATTTTAAATGCACCATGTAACCGTGGAAAACGAATCATTATTCTCCATGCTGGCAGTGAAAATGGATTTATACCTAATGCCTTGCTGTTATCTGCCATAAATATCAAAGAATCATGTGCCGACTATCATGAGGACATGACCTCCGACTTATTTGAAAAGTGAAATTCAGTGATTATTATGGACAATGCGCCATACCATTCCCGACAGAAAAACAAAATTCCGAATACAGGCACAAAAAAACAAGACATTATTGATTTTATGAAGGATAAGGGAATGGAAATACCACAAAAATCAACCAAAGCCATCTTATTGGATCTTATTAAAAGACAAAAATTTGAAAAAGAGTATGTTGTTGACAATCTGCTTCAGCAAAATGGCCATGAAGTATTACGTCTACCTCCCTATTACTGCATTTTTAACCCGATTGAGTTGGTCTGGGCTGCTTTAAAAAAAAGTAAGAAAACATAATCAGACCCCCTCAATTAAGTGAATCGCTATTGGCCACAATAAGAGATGTAGTATCTCATATTGCTGCCACAGACCTATGGAAGCAGTGTTCTAGGCATATTATTGAAAAAGAAAATGAATATTGTGTTTTGCCTCCTGTAAATCCCGTTGTAATTCCTCTACAAGATGACTCTAGCGACAGCTCCGAAGGCGAGGATGATATATAAATACCTATAATGTAAGTCTTTATATACCTTTTTATATACCTACCTGCTATGTAAATATTTGCCTATGTCAAACGTTGGAATTCTGTAATTTTTCCATTTCTTAACTTTCAGTCAACATAAATTAAACTTCCCATATAAGTATTTTTTATCCCAAATCAAAAAAATAAGAAGATAGTAAAATCCATTTATTGTGATATAAAAACATTATTATTATCGTTCTAAATAAATGACCGCACGCCTATGATACGTCATGAAATTACAAAGGACGCGCCGACCAATGGTTTTTATGCTATTTCAAGTGACTTCAGATAAAGTATACCCTAATATGCGACCTCCAAGACCGGAAACATTTTCCACACTACGAGAACGTTTTGAATCAAGTCGAGCAGTGGAATATACTAAGAAATGTATAGACCAATGAGGCGAATCAGTTTGAGGTTCTATTAAAGTTGCAGGAAAATCCCCATTTAAGTGCACGCCAAATTGGAGCAGAAACTTATATATGCAGAACTTCTGTCAAATCTGTACTCTTAGTGGCAATATGGAACTAACCCACTGTTTGTCTTTTGTTTCAATAGATGATGTGATTTTTTCCTTAATTTTGGTGTGTTGTTCTATTAAAAGCTTAATAACTCAAAATCTAGTCATTTTATCTGAATTAAACCTAATACCAAAAAAAGCTGATAAAAAGTTGAATACAAACTTGTACAAATATACAGGGTGATGCATTTGAAATTTTTGAAAAAAGGACAATTCGCATTTTTGACCACCCTGTACGAGCAAACATGAAAATTCGAAAAAGTAACAAATAAGACAAAAGCTGAGGTGTGTAAGTTTTTTTTGATACAAAACTCAGCTCTCCAAATTTCACAATGGTGGATTGAGGGGATGCCGAAGTGGACGGTTTTTCTATTTGAAAAATCACAACTTTGATATGTAGGTTGAAATTGAGACACCCTGTATAATGACCAATATTTTATAAATGTGCCCTCAAATGTCATGTATAACAGATTTACTCAATATTTATTTGTTTATGAGTAATGTTTGGTCACGACTTGTGAATCACCCTGTATAAGCCAAATTCATCATTATGTAACATAATCTATGTAGAACAAAGGTTTCAAATTGATTGATTGTTTTTGGTTATGCCTTTTGGATTCCTACAGAAACAAGGGATCACTACATATGAGGAAGTGGTAGTGCTACTGAGGAAACTGGTGTATTCTACATTTTTACAATAACCCACAAATCTTGATATACAGTAATATTAATAATGATATAATAAACAAAGTAAAAGTACTATATACATCAGATCAAATATATGGCTGTGTCGGAACTGGATAAGTTCATTATACAGTTAAGTATTTATGAATCGTGGAATGTTTTCTTTAAAGTTTCAAAGTGGGTGTTGTTAAAATAATAACTGCAGTACCTCTGGTGTGGGCCCGATAGGTATCCTATGATCTGTACAAATTCGGAGCGTATTCAACATTTTTTTTTACTTTTACCACACCAAGTCAGAAAGTCGTATAGTCGATTAAATTTGAGGGAAATTTTCAAACCTTTTCAATACCCAAGCGCTGCTTATTAACGTCACTTGACTCCGATACTGTGGAAACAGGATTTCCGTCTAAATTTGTGATCGCCGATTGATATATTCCTCGTTCATTTTTACTAATTTTCCTGTATTTTCTATTCACGTTCTAATATTATTTCATGCTTTTATTTGCAGATGTCATACAATTAATGACTTGGGGGTTGGGGTCACTTCTGACAGAAAGCACTCTCTTTCCTATTGGATATGGAACAAAAGCTCATGCCTTCATTGACAGAAATACTGGGGAGCTCAACAACGCTTTTAAATCGAACATTGAAGATACTGATTTAAGACATAAGGTTGACTCTGCATCCCTGGTCTGAAACCGATCCTACACAACAAATTTTTACAGATTTCCCAGTATTTTCTATCCACGTCCTGATATTATTTCATACTGCCTTCGTCTACAGACCTAATACAATTAATAACTGGGAGGGAGCAATCTTGTTCCTTTCAAATTGCAAATTTGCATGTTTCTGCATCAAATCTTTATTGCTTTATTCTCGGCAATACTGAGGATCTTAACAGCTCTGTTATATTGAAGATTCTGTACTATGCTTATTTTAGATCTAAGATTGAGAAGCATCCCTGGTTTGGGATCACCATCGCTGGATTTACATAAATAAATAAATTTATTATTTATACGACTATACAATGATGGTATCGGAACTGTCATTAATAAAGTAATTTCGTTGCTTTACAAATAGTATCTGGGTATGAATAACTCATTCAGTAAAAACAACAAGCATAAACAAAACGTAAAAGCTTTACAAACAAAGGAAAAGATATAAATGAGATTCGCACCTGACGAAATATCGCCCAAGGTAATTTCTTACACAGATCATAGAAAGAATTCGATAGATTAAGTCTCATTTATACAATCCAGAGTCATATAGCCACAAATCTCACTGTTCCTGTTTCCTCATAGAATATTTCATACCCATACCATATGAGTAGAAATATACTAAGTGACATATAAATCCGAACACCCAGTTTAAATGGCTTTATTTTAATAAAAGTTGGTGAATGTATTTATCTTACTGTAAATAACAAATGAAAAAATTTTCAGCCTTATCAGTTGGACATTCCGGTTTTTATACTGCTGTTTTTTAATTCACTAACGCTCTAAAAATGAGTATTTCAGCCGCAGTAAAGAATCAACGTTGGCGGATTTTGGTTCTTGACATCCTTTACGATCGGTTACGATGCCTAGAGTACGGAGACCTGTACGATTTCGTCAACTTAGTGAGTTTGATAGGGGCCGTATAGTGGGACTTCGGGAAGCTGGACTTTCTTTTCGAGCAATTGCAGTTAGAGTGCAAAGAAGTGTAGACACTGTGGTTAGGTGTTGTCAGGCATGGCTTCGAGAAGGCCGTACGTAAAGAGCAAGGGGCACTGGACGCCGCCGTAGAACAACAGACCGTGAAGAACGCCGCCTAAGATTATTGGCCTTAAGGGACCGCTTCTCCACTACCAGGTCCATTGCAAATGAATGGTTTGCAGAACACGGAAGACCTATTGGCATGCGAAGTGTTTACCGACGAATGAGAAGTTTTGGCTTGTTTTCATACCGGCCACACTGGATCCTCCCTTTAACTCGAGAACACCGACGTAATCGCCTTGAGTGGCGCAGACAACGGTCACTCTGGGATCAGGAATGGAACAGTATTGTCTTCAGTGACGAGTCTCGATTTTGTTTAGGCATGCACGATGGTCGTGCCAGGGTTAGAAGGCGACGTGGTGAAAGGAGGAATCCACAGTTTTTTGTTGAAAGACATGTTCATCACACTGTTGGAGTTATGGTTTGGGGTGCTATAGCTTATGGTTCCAGGTCACCTTTAATCTTCATCAAAGGTAACATGAACGCGCAGCGTTATACCCACGAAGTTCTAGAACCCCATCTTTTACCCTATCTTGACACCCTGGCAGATCCAACTTTCCAACAAGATAATGCCCGACCACATGTTGCAAGAGTCACAATAGACTTCTTTCAACATAATGATGTCACCAAGATCTCCCGACTTATCCCCAATTGAGCACGTGTGGGATATGATGGGTAGGAGATTGCTCAATTTGCAACGTCCTCCTCAGACTCTAGAAGCACTTCGAGAGGAGTTGGTGGTTGCCTGGAATGAGATACCACAGGAGGACATTGACCACCTGATCAGAAGCATGCCTAGGCGCGTTGGAGAATGCGCAGCACATCAGGGTGGATCCACACATTATTAAAGGTCAAAGGGCTTTAAAGCAGTGCAATCATTTTGAAATTTTTATCATTTACTTATTATGCTTCATTAAGTACTTATACAAAATTTTATTAAAATAAAACCATTTAAACTGGGTGTTCGGATTTATATGTCACTCAGTATATTAAACAAGTAATGTATGTGAGAGACACAAACAAAAGGATTATCAGGCTGTGTGGGCTCACATACTTATTTATATGCGCATTCTAACAATGCAAGTTTTAATTGTTTATTCATGGAAGGCATTGTCCGATTTCAAAACATTCGCATATTCTATGTGCACCTTATGCAAGATTTTATACAGCGGTTATATATTAAGTCATAACAAGCATTCAGTTTTAAATTGTTGACTGAAGCTAGATGATAGATGAGATGGTTGATCAATGCTGAAAAGCAAAATTAATAATCAGCTAGTGCTTCCATATTAGTACATACTCGTGTTTGTGAAGCACTGCATCTTGCAATTCCAATCTCAGAGATGGATAATTCTTGTCTATGTGTGTTAATAAACAGTCAACTTAAGTATAAAATGGACAAGCCATACATGAGATACCTTCGCGAAGAAAAATATCTTCGATAATATTTCATCGTCTTTGATTGTGGGTTGACTATTCTTGAAGGTGATAATTTCATACAAGCTTGTGTACTTTACAAAGAATGCGAAATCAACTATTAGGATTCATGCAACTCCCTAGAAAAAATAGACAGCTACTATCGAAGAATACACAAAAAACTATACGAAATAAAAGTTATCAAAGAACAGCCCCGGTATATTATACAAACGACATCTCAACGCACGTAATTCGTACATTTTAACTGGTACAAACGCTGATAAATACCATTGGTTAGTAAGAAATTGACCTCTGTAACAGTTTAATCGAAACTCAAGGTGATTGTAGATCAAAATAATTGGTGAAATTAATTGTATCCTAATTACCATTGTTATGTAACTGGTTACCGGAAATTCTATTCTACGATAGGCTAATTCATTATCTACACATAGCTTATTTGTAATTAGAAGTAATTTGTGTAAATGTCGGTACGCGAGCTGTTCTAGAATTATTGTATACTCAAGGATTTTTTACATAGGAGAAACATTTCTTAGCCTGTTAAAATTCGGGAATTGTCAAATCTTGCACTTATCACTAAAATCCGTCACTCACCTGTGCAACGAATTTCAGCATGTTGCTGATGATTGCCAGAAAGCACAAAACAATGTTGTATACTGTCAGTTGTATTCGCAGAGATGGAAATAATACAGAAGATCCTATTGACGCAGGCTATACCACAAACGGTGCTAACGTTTAATCGTGGAATAAATTAACATCATCTAGCAAATACAACGTTGACATGAAATTGAACATTCCAAGATAACGATGCTAATATGCCTCTGCATATATCGATTTCCATATAAACAACAAACTAATCAGTAACACCGCCAGAGTAATTTTCACTGCACTTAAATGTTTGCATTCTCAATCTTCATTACTTTTAATCATGTTTGACACACTATTCTATCTTTCGTTATATTGGCAATACAGCTACAGTTTCCTCGTTGTTGGTATTAGAAAGTAACAGTTGGTGATTAAATAATTATGTCTCTGTGTGAGATATTGGCTATGATAGAGAAATGATGCTTGAAACCATATTTCACTATCCCAATATTGATGGAAAAATATCAACAGGGCTAAAGGAAAAAATGTCAATTTTAGTATAATGAGATTAGTCAAATTCGGTGCACTGCTGACACATCATTATTCAAAAGCAACGTTGAGAATTACTGATCCGCCGTACAGCGCTGAGTTTCACGCGTTTCGAAAATTCGAGAAATTTCTTGGTGTAAAGCGTTTGGGAAACAATAACATGTTGAAAAAGACAGTTACTAACTGGTTTATCAGTCAGGCGGCAGCGTTTTTTTGACGACGGATGTCTATGTTGAAAAATGAAAAAAATATTCATATTTTAGTTAATGATACTACAGGGTGGTCCATAAGTCCTTTGAAATTTCAAATTTGAATAAAATTTAACGGGTGAGCGTGAGCGGCGCGGGCGAGGTGGGGGCAGTATTTTCAGTGTCTGGGAATTCAGTCGCCATGGAGTGTTTCACTGGAGCGGATCGTGCTTTTTGTGTGCGCGCGTTTTATCAAAATAATGATTCGGCAACCATTGCGCGGCGTAAATATCGAGAATACCACAATTTACACAATTTTACAAAGTGTCCAACAGCTCAAACGATTAAGAACTGGGTTGCTAAGTTCGAAGAGACTGGTTCGACGTTAGATAAACAGCGGTGGGGTCGACCAAGGACAACTCGTATTGAAGAAAACATCAACATTGTGGCACAGTCTGTTCGTCAAAATCCTACCCAGTCTACTCGTAAGCGTGCTAGTGCACTAAACGTACAAAGAACATCTTTACAGCTGATTTTAAGGAAAGATTTACGTCTGCACGCTTACAAAATTCAGTTAGTGCAGGAATTAAAAGATAATGGCGCTATTCAGAGACTAAACTTTGCGAATGAAATGTTGAATCGATTTTCTTCGCTCAATAATGTGTTGTTCTCGGACGAGGCTCACTTCCATTTAAACGGGCATGTAAATAAACAAAATTGCCGTTATTGGAGCCCCGAAAATCCAAGGCGTAAGCATCAGAAGCCCTTACACAGCCCTAAAGTTACAGTTTGGGCTGCTATGTCAGCGCATGGCATCGTAGGCCCTTATTTTTTTGAAGACGACAGAGGTCGCGCATTAACTGTTACTTCGGAGCGGTATGTAGCAATGATAGAAGAGTTTTTGACACCAGCGTTGCAGAATTTTCCAGGCTATAATACGCAGACCTGGTTTCAACAGGACGGAGCAACTGCCCACACCTCCAACACTTCTATGCCCGTCGTCTGTCAACTTTTTCCAAGCAAAGTAATTTCTCGAAGAGGAGACATTTCCTGGCCACCACGTAGTCCAGATTTGACCCCAATGGAATTCTTTTTATGGGGCTATCTCAAGAGTAAAGTGTACGACACCACTCCGCGATCCGTTGATGTCCTGAAAGAAAATATCCGAAGAGAAATGGCAAGCATTACAGTGTTGACTTGCCGCGCAGTCACCGACAATTTTAGACGTCGTTTATATGAGTGCCGTGATCGTAATGGATTGCATTTAGACGATGTGATTTTGAAAACATAATTCCCATTCAATAAGGATGATAACAAAATATAATAATTCTTCATAATGTAACTAGTTTAGTTTTATTCCTTTTTTTCCCGCTCAAAGGACTTATGGGCCACCCTGTATTTACGTTGATAAAAAAAGTTTCTTTGCCTCCATTAAAAAAGGGTTCTTACTTAAAAAATGGCTCACGCAACGATATAATATACTAAGTGACATATAAATCCGAACACCCAGTTTAAATGGTTTTATTTTAATAAAAGTTGGTGAATGTATTTATCTTACTGTAAATAACAAGTGAAAAAATTTTCAGCCTTATCCGTTGGACATTCCGGTTTTTATACTGCTTTTTTTTAATTCACTAACGCTCTAAAAATGAATATTTCAGTCGCAGTAAAGAATCAACGTTGGCGGATTTTGGTTCTTGACATCCTTTACGATCGGTTACGATGCCTAGAGTATGGAGACCTGTACGATTTCGTCAACTTAGTGAGTTTGATAGTGGCCGTATAGTGGGACTTCGGGAAGCTGGACTTTCTTTTTGGGCAATTGCAGTTAGAGTGCAAAGAAGTGTAGACACTGTGGTTAGGTGTTGTCAGGCATGGCTTCGAGAAGGCCGTACGCAAAGAGCAAGGGGCACTGGTCGCCGCCGTAGAACAACAGACCGTGAAGATCGCCGCCTAATATTATTGGCCTTAAGGGACCGTTTCTCCACTACCAGGTCCCTTGCAAATGAATGGTTTGCAGAACACGGAAGACCTATTGGCATGCGAAGTGTTTACCGACGAATGAGAAGTTTTGGCTTGTTTTCATACCGGCCACACTGGGTCCTCCCTTTAACTCGAGAACACCGACGTAATCACCTTGAGTGGTGCAGACAACGGTCACTCTGGGATCAGGAATGGAACAGCATTGTCTTTAGTGACGAGTCTCGATTTTGTTTAGGCATTCACGATGGTCGTGCCAGGGTGAGAAGGCGACGTGGTGAAAGGAGGAATCCACAGTTTTTTGTTGAAAGACATGTTCATCACACTGTTGGAGTTATGGTTTGGGGTGCTTTAGCTTATGGTTCCAGGTCACCTTTAATCTTTATCAGAGGTAACGTGAACGCGCAGCGTTATATCCACGAAGTTCTAGAACCCCATCTTTTACCCTATCTTGACACCCTGGCAGATCCAACTTTCCAACAAGATAATGCCCGACCACATGTTGCAAGAGTCACAATAGGCTTCTTTCAACATAATGATGTCACATTGTTACCATGGCCACCAAGATCTCCCGACTTATCCCCAATTGAGCACGTGTGGGATATGATGGGTGGGAGATTGCTCAATTTGCAACGTCCTCCTCAGACTCTAGAAGCACTTCGAGAGGAGTTGGTGGTTGCCTGGAATGAGATACCACAGGAGGACATTGACCACCTGATCAGAAGCATGCCTATGCGCGTTGGAGAATGCGTAGCACATCAGGGTGCATCCACACATTATTAAAGGTCAAAGGGCTTTAAAGCAGTGCAATCATTTTGAAATTTTTATCATTTACTTATTATGCTTCATTAAGTACTACTAGTTCGGATTTATACGTATATGTCACATACATGCTATCTCTACAGCTGATAAATGTCATGCTGAGTTGTCCATTCTCCACAACAGATGATCAACAGTGATAATTGATTAGATGTTATAATTATATTAAAATTAGATTGAAGATTCGCCTCTCGCCTCCTTTTACTTAAACTTTCTCTTCATTAACAAAATCTATGAGTTCATTCATAAAATGAGGTTAATTCAAGTGGATATAGAGGAAACCGTATTGCAATATTTATTATGTAGAAAACAGGAAACGTGTTCCGTGACTACCAGTAATTTCATGCAGTCCTTAACCTTTGGATGATTTGAATCCGACAGTCTTGAATCATCAGTAATTAAAAGTACTTAGTTTAACACCGTATTGTCTTTGAACTGCCTATGGGCACGAAGATTTTTGTTGACAAAATTTGTGTTTGCCTTATACTCATTTTTTATTATGCAGTGGAACTGCTAGCGTGCAGGGTCTGTATATTCGCCAAAGTTGAGTAGTTTGAGAGATGGTTTACAATTTTGTGCGCCGGATTGGTAAAATCGCACCTCAAGGGCACAGTGGTGTACGATATGGTGATGATAATGCTCAGTTTTGTGGATTAAGCTGTAAGTACCAGTTTTTTTATTGATATTTGCATTGACTTTAGGCTGACATTTGGCTTGGACTATTTTGAAGACGGGTCCCATTCTACAATTTATAAGAAAACATTCCACGACTCCATTTTTTGTGGAAGCCATCGTCCGTATGCTACAAGGTGTGTTCAGGATAAAACGTGTTAGTATAGGTACGAAGAGGTGGTTAGAGAGTTGAAAAATGTCTAATAGACGTAACGCCGGTGACCTGAAATGAAGAAAACGTGCTGATGAGACATTGGGCTCATTCAGGGAACGATATCTGTATGACATTCACAATACAGCATCTCGCTTCGCTGATATTCCCTGAATGAGCCAATTGAGGAGGAAAAACAAAGACCACAGAGATAGAAGCATGCGTATATTTTTATATGTACATAAATACAAAAGCTTAGATGCAACACTTTACACATATTTATTAGACGTAGTAGTACAGATATCATATGTAAGTTAACACATATGTTAATTGAAACTGAAACACTTGATTAACTAGCGCGAAGGGATATTTTTCATACTCTTAATAATAACAAACAAGAAAACAGTTTATGGCAGACGATAATAAAAACAACATCTTGTCCTAATGTCCAACTGTTACCTTGATTGTATCAAATGGTTGCAACTTATTTCCCTTCTTGAGTTAGAATAATGATGGCTGCAGAATATGCAGCATCTCAGTAGCTTTAACGAAGGATTAATTATGAATTATTAGGATTCGAAAAAAGCCACTAATTCATGACCCACTGATACCAAATCTTCTTATTAAAAGACACTACCCATATGCGATGTCTGCTTTCTGGGATCATCTTGAAAGCGTTCAAATATTTATAACTATTTCTATTCTAACTGTATTCCAATATCCCAAAAAATACGTACATATGTGACGCATATGGCACAAATTTCACGAAATCAATCACATTCACTTTGATGGGCGCTATCAGAGGTTATAAAAAGAATTTTCCTGAAACAGCAAATATTTCTACTCTCAAATATCAGAAATAATAAGTTACAGAGGCAAATCAGATTTAACGTGAATTATCTTTGACGCATAAATATTTTATTGATCATCAAACTTTCAAAGCCGTAGGTTCTATAAGTAGATTAAACCATGAAATATGCTGGAAATCACAGACAAGGTGAACAGTGATCAATTATTTCACTTTATCTCTTCAATATCGTTTTTTGAACTGATCACAAACATCAAAGTTCAGATACTCCAAACGGTTCAGAATATAGACTGAAAGGACAGTAAAGATATCCAAGGAAGAACAAAGTGAACCAGTGACCTCGTGAACGTAACATGTTTTGTTGTTGACGCAAGAACTTTTTATTGATAATCAAAATTGCAAATCCCAATGGTTCTATAGGTAGGTTAAACCTTGAAAAGAGCTCTAAATCACAGTCAAGGTCAAGTTATATAATTTTTGAACGGTTCTACTGATACTGGTCACAAACTTTAAAGTTCAGATATCCTAAATGACTCAATCTAAGTGGTGCACTTTGCATTATGGGCCTCAAAGTGCCATGCAAAGAACAAAGTTGATCTCCAAATGATCCCGGAGGTCAGGTCAAGTTCAAGGTCATTAGTAAAGATGCCCAGGAAGAACAAAGTGAACCAGTGATTTCAGCTAGGCTCATTCTTCTGCTCAAAAGTCCATCTCATTCCATTGTTTGGTGCTAATCGTTGACCTCTTTATAATTAGGAAAGTACCGGTAGGATTTTGAAGGAATTTTGACGCAAGGTTGCTCTATGCCACGGAAAGACAGAGCTTTATAGTTTTTGAAAATCGATCCACTGGCGGGGGAGTTAGGGGCATCTGAATGGTGCACTTCTCACTCTTTTCATTATGGGCCTCGAAGGTATCAACAAAGTTGATCTCCGAATGATCCCGAAAGTCAGAACAAGTTCAAGGTCATCAGCAAAGATGCAAAAGGAAGAACAAAGTGAACCAGTGATTTCAGCTAGGCTCAATCTTCTGCTCAAAAGTCCATCTCGATCCATTGTTTGGTGCTAATCGTTGACCTCTTTATAATTAGGAAAGTAGCAGCAGGATTTTGAAGAAATTTTGACGCAAGGTTACTCTATGCCAAGGAAAGACAGAGCTTTATAGTTTTTGAAAATCGATCCACTGGCGGGGGAGTTAGGGGCATCTGAATGGTGCACTTCTCACTGTTTTCATTATGGGCCTCGAAGGTATCATGCAAAGAACAAATTTGATCTCCGAATGATCCAGAAGGTCAGGAAAAGTTCAAGGTCATCAGCAGAGATACCCAAGGAAGAACAAAGTGAACCAGTGATTTCAGCTAGGCTCATTCTTCTGCTCAAAAGTCCACCTCATTCCATTGTTTGGTGCTAATCGTTGACCTCTTTATAATTAGGAAAGTACCGTTAGGATTTTGAAGAAATTTTGACACAAGGTTACTCTATGCCAAGGAAAGACAGAGCTTTATAGTTTTTGAAAATCGATTCACTGGCGGGGGAGTTAGGGGCATCTGAATGGTGCACTTCTCACTCTTTTCATTATGGGCCTCGAAGGTATCATGCAAAGAACAAAGTTGATCTCCAAATGATCCCGAAGGTCAGGAAAAGTTCAAGGTCATCAGTAAAGATGCCCAGGAAGAACAAAGTGAACCAGTGATTTCAGGTAGGCTCAATCTTCTTCTCAAAAGTCCATCTTATTCCATTGTTTGGTGCTAATCGTTGACCTCTTTATAATTAGGAAAGTACCGGTAGGATTTTGAAGAAATTTTGACACAAGGTTACTCTATGCCAAGGAAAGACAGAGCTTTATAGTTTTTGAAAATCGATCGACTGGCGGGGGAGTTAGGGGCATCTGAATGGTGCACTTCTCACTCTTTTCATTATGGGCCTCGAAGGTATCATGCAAAGAACAAAGTTGATCTCCAAATGATCCCGGAGGTCAGGACAAGTTCAAGGTCATCAGCAAAGATGCCCAAGGAAGAACAAAGTGAACCAGTGATTTCAGCTAGGCTCATTCTTCTGCCCAAAAGTCCATCTCATGCCATAGTTTGGTGCTAATCGTTGACCTCTTTATAATTAGGAAAGTACAGGTGAGATTTTGAAGAAATTTCGACACAAGGTTACTCTATGCCAAGGAAGGACAGAGCTTTATAGTTTTTGAAAATCGATCGACTGGCGGGGGAGTTAGGGGCATCAGAATGGTGCACTTCTCACTCTTTTCATTCTGGGTCTCGAAGGTATCATGCAAAGAACAAATTTGATCTCCAAATGATCCCGAAGGTCAGGACAATTTCAAGGTCATCAGCAAAGATGCCCAAGGAAGAACAAAGTGAACCAGTGATTTCAGCTAGGCTCATTCTTCTGCTCAAAAGTCCATCTCATTCCATTGTTTGGTGCTAATCGTTGACCTCTTTATAATTAGGAAAGTACCGGTAGGATTTTGGAGAAATTTTGACACAAGGTTACTCTATGCCAAGGAAAGACAGAGCTTTATAGTTTTTGAAAATAGATCCACTGGCGGGGGAGTTAGGGGCATCTGAATGGTGCACTTCTCACTCTTTTCATTATGGGCCTCGAAGGTATCATGCAAAGAACAAAGTTGATCTCCAAATGATCCCGAAGGTCAGAACAAGGTCATCAGCAAAGATGCCCAAGGAAGAACAAAGTGATCCAGTGATTTCAGCTAGGTTCATTCTTCTGCTCAAAAGTCCATCTCATTCTATTGTTTGGTGCTAATCGTTGACCTCCTTATAATTAGGAAAGTACCGGTAGGATTTTGAAGAAATTTTGACACAAGGTTACTCTATGCCAAGGAAAGACAGAGCTTTATAGTTTTTGAAAATCGATCCACTGGCGGGGAGTTAGGGGTATTTGAATGGTGCACTTCTCACTCCTTTCATTATGGGCCTCGAAGGTATCATGCAAAGAACAAAGTTGATCTCCAAATGATCCCGGAGGTCAGGACAAGTTCAAGGTCATCAGCAAAGATGCCCGAGGAAGAACAAAGTGAACCAGTGATGTCAGCTAGGCTCATTCTTCTGCTCAAAAGTCCATCTCATTCCATTGTTTGGTGCTAATCGTTGACCTCTTTATAATTAGGAAAGTAGCGGTAGGATTTTGAAGAAATTTTGACGCAAGGTTACCCTATGCCACGGAAAGACAGATCTTTATAGTTTTTGAAAATCGATCCACTGGCGGGGGAGTTAGGGGCATCTGAATGGTGCACTTCTCACTGTTTTCATTATGGACCTCGAAGGTATCATGCAAAGAACAAATTTGATCTCCAAATGATCTCGAAGGTCAGGACAATTTCAAGGTCATCAGTAAAGATGCCCAGGAAGAACAAAGTGAACCAGTGATGTCAGCTAGGCTCATTCTTCTGCTCAAAAGTCCATCTCAATCCATTGTTTGGTGCTAATCGTTGACCTCTTTATAATTAGGAAAGTACCGGTAGGATTTTGAAGAAATTTTGACACAAGGTTACTCTATGCCACGGAAAGGCAGAGCTTTATAGTTTTTGAAAATCGATCCACTGGCGGGGGAGTTAGGGGCATCTGAATGGTGCACTTCTCACTCTTTTCATAATGGGCCTCGAAGGTATCATGCAAAGAACAAAGTTGATCTCCAAATGATCCCGGAGGTCAGGAAAAGTTCAAGGTCATCAGCAAAGATGCCCAAGGAAGAACAAAGTGAACCAGTGATTTCAGCTAGGCTCATTCTTCTGCTCAAAAGTCCATCTCAGTCCATTGTTTGGTGCTAATCGTTGACCTCTTTATCATTAGGAAAGTACCGGTAGGATTTTGAAGAAATTTTGACACAAGGTTACTCTATGCCAAGGAAAGACAGAGCTTTATAGTTTTTGAAAATCGATCCACTGGCGGGGGAGTTAGGGGCATCTGAATGGTGCACTTCTCACTCTTTTCGTTATGGGCCTCGAAGGTATCATGCAAAGAACAAAGTTGATCTCCAAATGATCCCGAAGGTCAGGTTAATTTCAAGGTCATCAGTAAAGATGCCCAAGAAAGAACGAAAACGGATTTCAGCTAGGCTCATTCTTCTGCTCAAAAGTCCATCTCAATCCATTGTTTGGTGCTAATCGTTGACCTCTTTATAATTAGGAAAGTACCGGTAGGATTTTGAAGAAATTTTGACGCAAGGTTACTCTATGCCAAGGAAAGACAGAGCTTTATAGTTTTTGAAAATCGATCCACTGGCGGGGGAGTTAGGGGCATCTGAATGGTGAACTTCTCAGTCTTTTCATAATGGGCCTCGAAGGTATCATGCAAAGAACAAAGTTGATCTCCAGATGATCCCGAAGGTCAGGACAAGTTCAAGGTCATCAGCAAAGATGCCCAAGGAAGAACAAAGTGAACCAGTGATTTCAGCTAGGCTCAATCTTCTGCTGAAAAGTCCATCTCATTCCATAGTTTGGTGCTAATCGTTGACCTCTTTATAATTAGGAAAGTACCGGTAGGATTTTGAAGAAATTTTGACACAAGGTTACTCTATGCCAAGGAAAGACAGAGCTTTATAGTTTTTGAAAATCGCTCCACTGGCGGGGGAGTTAGGGGCATCTGAATGGTGCACTTCTCACTATTTTCATTATGGGCCTCGAAGGTATCATGCAAAGAACAAAGTTGATCTCCAAATGATCCCGAAGGTCAGGAAAAGTTCAAGGTCATCAGTAAAGATGCCCAAGGAAGAACAAAGTGAACCAGTGATTTCAGCTAGGCTCATTCTTCTGCTCAAAAGTCCATCTCAATCCATTATTTGGTGCTAATCGTTGACCTCTTTATAATTAAGAAAGTACCGGTAGGATTTTGAAGAAATTTTGACACAAGGTTACTTTATGCCAAGGAAAGACAGAGCTTTATAGTTTATGAAAATCGATCCACTGGCGGGGGAGTGAGGGGCATCTGAATGGTGCACTTCTCACGCTTTTCATTATGGGCCTCGAAGGTATCATGCAAAGAACAAAGTTGATCTCCAAATGATCCCGAAGATCAGGACAAGTTCAAGGTCATCAGCAAAAATGCCCAAGGAAGATCAAAGTGAACCAGTGATTTCAGCTAGGCTCAGTCTTCTGCTCAAAAGTCCATCTCATTCCATTGTTTGGTGCTAATCGTTGACCTCTTTATAATTAGGAAAGAACCGGTAGGATTTTGAGGAAATTTTGACGCAAGGTTACTCTATGCCACGGAAAGACAGAGATTTGGAGTTTTTGAAAATCGATCCAGTAGCGGGGGAGTTAGGGGCATCTGCACTCTCACTCTTTTCATAATGGGCCTCGAATGTATCATGCAAAGAACAAAGTTGATCTCCAGATGATCCCGAAGGTCAGGACAAGTTCAAGGTCATCAGCAAAGATGCCCAAGGAAGAACAAAGTGAACCAGTGATTTCAGGTAGGCTCAATCTTCTGCTCAAAAGTCCATCTTATTCCATTGTTTGGTGCTAATCGTTGACCTCTTTATAATTAGGAAAGTACCGGTAGGATTATGAAGGGATTTTGACTCAAGGTTACTCTATGCCAAGGAAAGACAGAGCTTTATAGTTTTTGAAAATCGATCCACTGGCGGGGGAGTTAGGGGCATCTGAATGGTGCACTTCTCACTGTTTTCATTATGGGCCTCGAAGGTATCATGCAAAGAACAAAGTTGATCTCCAAATGATCCCGAAGGTCAGGTTAATTTCAAGGTCATCAGTAAAGATGCCCAAGAAAGAACGAAAACGGATTTCAGCTAGGCTCATTCTTCTGCTCAAAAGTCCATCTCATTCCATTGTTTGGTGCTAATCGTTGACCTCTTTATAATTAGGAAAGTATCGGTAGGATTTTGAAAAAATTTTGACGCAAGGTTACTCTATGCCAAGGAAAGACAGAGCTTTATAGTTTTTGAAAATAGATCCACTGGCGGGGGAGTTAGGGGCATCTGAATGGTGCACTTCTCACTCTTTTCATTATGGGCCTCGAAGGTATCATGCAAAGAACAAAGTTGATCTCCAAATGATCCCGGAGGTCAGGACAAGTTCAAGGTCATCAATAAAGATGTCCAAGGAAGAACAAAGTGAACCAGTGATGTCAGCTAGGCTCATTCTTCTGCTCAAAAGTCAATCTCATTCCATTGTTTGGTGCTAATCGTTGACCTCTTTATAATTAGGAAAGTACCGTAAGGATTTTGAAGAAATGTTGACACAAGGTTACTCTATGCCACGGAAAGACAGAGCTTTATAGTTTTTGAAAATCGATCCACTGGCGGGGGAGTTAGGGGCATCTGAATGGTGCACTTCTCACTATTTTCATTATGGGTCTCGAAGGTATCATGCAAAGAACAAATTTGATCTCCAAATGATCCCGGAGGTCAGGTCAAGTTCAAGGTCATTAGTAAAGATGCCCAGGAAGAACAAAGTGAACCAGTGATTTCAGCTAGGCTCAATCTTCTGCTCAAAAGTCCATCTCAGTCCATTGTTTGGTGCTCATCGTTGACCTCTTTATAATTAGGAAAGTACCGGTAGGATTTTGAAGAAATTTTGACACAAGGTTATTCTATGCCAAGGTAAGACAGAGCTTTATAGTTTTTGAAAATCGATCCACTGGCGGGGGAGTTAGGGGCATCTGAATGGTGCACTTCTCGCTCTTTTCATTATGGGCCTCGAAGGTATCATGCAAAGAACAAATTTGATCTCCGAATGATCCCGAAAGTCAGGAAATGTTCAAGGTCATCAGCAAAGATTCCCAAGGAAGAACAAAGTGAACCAGTGATTTCAGCTAGGCTCATTCTTCTGCTCAAAAGTCCATCTCATTCCATGGTTTGGTGCTAATCGTTGACCTCTTTATAATTAGGAAAGTACCAGTAGGATTTTGAAGAAATTTTGACACAAGGTTACTCTATGCCAAGGAAAGACAGAGCTTTATAGTTTTTGAAAATCGATCCACTGGAGGGGGAGTTAGGGGCATCTGAATGGTGCACTTCTCACTCTTTTCATTCTGGGTCTCGAAGGTATCATGCAAAGAACAAATTTGATCTCCGAATGATCCCGAAAGTCAGGAAAAGTTCAAGGTCATCAGCAAAGATTCCCAAGGAAGAACAAAGTGAACCAGTGATTTCAGCTAGGCTCATTCTTCTGCTCAAAAGTCCATCTCATTCCATGGTTTGGTGCTAATCGTTGACCTCTTTATAATTAGGAAAGTACCGGTAGGATTTTGAAGAAATTTTGATACAAGGTTACTCTATGCCAAGCAAAGACAGAGCTTTATAGTTTTTGAAAATCGATCCACTGGCGGGGGAGTTAGGGGCATCTGAATGGTGCACTTCTCACTCTTTTCATTATGGGCCTCGAAGGTATCATGCAAGGAACAAAGTTGATCTCCAAATGATCCCGGAGGACAGGACAAGTTCAAGGTCATCAGCAAAGATGCCCAAGGAAGAACAAAGTGAACCAGTGATGTCAGCTAGGCTCATTCTTCTGCTCAAAAGTCCATCTCATTCCATTGTTTGGTGCTAATCGTTGACCTCTTTATAATTAGGAAAGTACCGGTAGGATTTTGAAGAAATTTTGACGCAAGGTTACTCTATGCCACGGAAAGACAGAGCTTTATAGTTTTTGAAAATCGATCCACTGGCGGGGGAGTTAGGGGCATCTGAATGTGCACTTCTCACTCTTTTCATTATGGGCCTCGAAGGTATCATGCAAAGAACAAAGTTGATCTCCAGATGATTCCGAAGGTCAGGACAAGTTCAAGGTCATCAAGAAAGATGCCCAGGAAGAACAAAGTGATCCAGTGATTTCAGCTAGGCTCATTCTTCTGCTCAAAAGTCCATCTCATTCCATTGTTTTGGTGCTAATCGTTGATCTCTTTATAATTAGGAAAGTACCGGTAGGATTTTGAAGAAATTTTGACACAAGGTTACTCTATGCCAAGGAAAGACAGAGCTTTATAGTTTTTGAAAATCGATCCACTGGCGGGGGAGTTAGGGGCATCTGAATGGTGCACTTCTCACTCTTTTCATTATTGGCCTCGAAGGTATCATGCAAAGAACAAAGTTGATCTCCAGATGATCCCGAAGGTCAGGACAAGTTCAAGGTCATCAGCAAAGATGCCCAGGAAGAACAAAGTGATCCAGTGATTTCAGCTAGGCTCATTCTTCTGCTCAAAAGTCCATCTCATTCCATTGTTTGGTGCTAATCGTTGACATCTTTATAATTAGGAAAGTACCAGTAGGATTTTGAGGAAATTTTGACGCAAGGTTACTCTATGCCAAGGAAAGACATAGCTTTATAGTTTTTGAAAATCGATCTACTGGCGGGGGAGTTAGGGGCATCTGAATGGTGCACTTCTCACTCTTTTCATTATGGGTCTCGAAGGTATCATGCAAAGAACAAATGTGATCTCCGAATGATCCCGAAGCTCAGGAAAAGTTCAAGGTCATCAGTAAAGATGCCCAAGGAAGAACAAAGTGAACCAGTGATTTCAGCTAGGCTCAATCTTCTGCTCAAAAGTCCATCTCAGTCCATTGTTTGGTGATTTTGTAGTCTTTTGTAATCGTAAAAAATTTCGATAATGACACATGTCATTCATTTCCGTCAGTCAGTTTGTTCGCTAGTCGTTGACCCCTCTATAACTTGGAAAGTATCAGTCCGATTTTGAACAAATTTTCATACAAGGTTACTTCGATGCCAAGGACGAAAAAGCTTAATAGTTTTTGAAAATCGATCCAGTGGCGTCAAAGCTAAGGGCAAAGAAGTAAAAAAAATTGAAATCGCTCAAACTTCCTTTTTTGATGTTTCAGAGGATTCTGGCAATTTTTGAAAGAAAGTAAGAGGTTTAAAGTTGTGGGATGAGAGGTTGTAAGAGGGTGGGCGAGGGTATATCTCAATTATTTGAAACTGCTATACCTATACGCTTTCAGCTGTGGTATTTCTTTCAGATATATTTCACTCATCCGCGGAGAAATATTTCCGACCCTCGCGAGTCAAATGTACACATACCTTAGAGCATATTCGTCCGCAAAAAATTTTTTAGCGGAAGGGGGGAGGATGGTTTGTCGACAAGAGATAACTTTTTTATGAAAGCGTAAATGCCTGCAAAACTTTTTGAACCGCGAGGGAGAGCATATTTTCTCAGGCAGCCAGATCCTAAAGAGCCCCAAAGTTATAAAAAATGTAAATATGCAAATTTTAATTGTATGAGTCGGTTTGACTAATTTGATCCGTTTATTTTCTGTTGTTATACATATTCTTAGCCTACTCTTTACTCAGTCATACATAGTCCTTTGAGAAATCCTTGACCACAATCTTAAAAGTCAAAATATTGAAATATTCAAGCGTTATCCAAAAGCAATTGTTGACCTTGACCTTGACTGACCCATCTGTTTGCACATCACAATGGCGTCAAACTTTGATGAATTATGTTCTTTTTTTCCTTGTACGTTTCAAATTGTGAAAATAATTTCGAAAATTGACACAGCCCAAAAAAATATCGGTCACATATATACGTATCATCTCTCCCAAAAGCACCCTGGCCGCCTTTCCCTAATAGCAGTGGCGTAACTAGAATCTGCACGAAGGGGGGCCGACCTGACCTCTAATCTTTTTCAAGGTCGAACCCACGGTTCCCCCCTTCTCGATACGCCACCGCCGCCTAGTAAACATTTCTCTCACCCTCAACGTTAACTTCGATATCTTCCAGCCTTCCAGGATGGTTCACGAGCAGCGTGCTGGGTTTGTGAATGGGCCCGGGCCCCGGCAACGTCACCGTCGGCCCCGTACCCCCACCGCCGACCCCCACTATCAACGGACACCCGACCACCGGCCGTTTGTTGAAGGCCACGTTGACCACGTGGTCGCACGCTTCGATCGGCACGAAACTCACCGCGAATCTAGCGTTGCCCTGAAAGAAAAGAAACGAAAGTTCATTTTGCAGAAAGAATGAGAATTTACTAGATCTATACCGTACTGATGATGTATGAAACAACGTTGTATATGGTTGGTTATTATTGCAAAGATGGATTTTCCTCAGCATACGGGTGATTTTTTAAGAGGTATAGGATGTGATTTTCAAAAAAAACACAAAAAATTTGAAAAAACGATTAAATCTTTATTTGAGTCGATAGAACGGTCGATATAATTTAATGTTCAAAGATTATTTCATGTAAATGTTGGCCGCGGCTCCGCTTTAGATGGCCCATGCGCAAGGTCCAATTTTGGCACACAATCTCCAACATATCGGCCGGTTTCTCCCTGTAGACATTAGCCTTAACATGGCCCCACAAGAAATAGTCCAACGGCGTTAAATCACACGATCTAGGCGGCCAGTTGACGGGCCCCAAACGTGAGATAAACTGTTCACCGAACTCGCCTCCCAATAGGGCCATTATTTCGTGTGCGATGTGGCATGTGGCACCGTCTTGTTGAAACCACATGTCAGCCAAGTCCAGCTCTTCCATTTTGGCCAAAAAAAAGTTTGTTATCATCGCACGGTAGCGCTCGCCATTCACAGTTACGTTCCGGCCATTGTCGTCTTTGAAGAAGTACGGCCCGACGATGCCACCGGCCCACAATCCACACCAAACAGTGATTTTTTCGGGATGCATTGGTAGCTCTTGCGATGTTTCTGGCTGGTCTTCACTCCAGATGCGGCAATTTTGCTTGTTAACGTACCCATTCAACCAGAAATGAGCTTCGTCGCTGAACACAATTTTTCGATAAAAATGTGGATCTTCCTCCAACTTTGCCAGCGCCCATTCACCAAATTGGAAACGTTGTGGGAGGTTGTGTGGCTTCAATTCTTGAACCAGCTGTATCTTATAAGGTTTTACACCCAAATCCTGTCGCAAAATTTTCCACGTAGTGGAGTAAGACAGGCCCAATTGCTGCGAACGGCGGCGAATCGATATTTCACGGTCATCACTAACACTGGCGGATACAGCCGCAATATTTTCTTCAGTCCTCTCTCTACGTCTGCGTGTTGGTGGTTTAATGTCCAATAATGTAAACTGGGTTCGAAATTTAGTCACAAGCTTCCGAATAGCTCCCTCAGTAGGCCGACCAAATTGCCCACAAATTGGAAGCAGTGCTCGATGCACTCTCTTAACCGAGCATGAATTTTAATAGTAAAATTCAATAATTTGCAAGCGTTGTTCGTTCGTAAGTCGATTCATGGTTAAATTATAGACCAAACTGAACAAGTTTGACAATGACACAAGACACGATTCACGCGTCATCTGTCAAAAACGGTGTTGCCAAAAAGATACTAGCAAAAAAATCACCCATTACAAAACAGGACATAGAAGTACCATGTATTTTTAGACTCAAAGTGAGTCGATTGAAATCTATGCAATAGTGTTTCATTGGTCCGTGAGAGAGCGTCAGGGATCTCTTTGTAACATTTTCGGATACTTTTGGAAACGATAGTCCGGAAGACTTGTGTTTTGCTAGACTTTGAATTTTACATGGTGCATCCCCACTCAGAAGTGGGATTTTTCACTAAAGACCACCTGATTCCATTCCCGGTCCTATAGAATTCTTTGTGGGCGATAAGAACTGACTTATTCCGATACAGTCAGGTCTGACGGAACATTAATAAAGTTGAAGTCGTATCCAGATTCTTACCTGTGGATGCACCTGGGTGGGTATGTTCATCCCCCTGGCCGATATCGTGATCTCCAGATTGCCCTCCCCCGCTTCACTTGCATCTACAGAAAAGGTCACAGGCCTCCCGACAGTTCCTTTCGCCACCGTACCAACTGTCACTTTGTTCGAGTCAAACGCCTTCGCGTTGAAAGGGGTACCTTGGACAGGTCTACCGTTGTAGTCGACCGTGATCTGGTGTGCACCGACTTGCACCGGAATGAACTCCGCCGTGAAGCCAGAGTGGATGTCACCTGTAACAAGAAAAATGGAGGATAATATCGTGATCATGAAATGCAGATCAAAATCGATACATAATTCACACATTTAGGCTCGTATCGTCAGTCGTCCCTACAATTGTAGGGCGCGTTTATGGCATCCTTGATTGTCATACTTCTTTCTCTCCTTCAAAAATTTCTAGATTACACTTGTCCTGTGTCAGCGTCAGCGCTCTCCTATTGTGAAGATATGTTAGCCTTTTAAATTGTAGGAAATTTCAGGCTGATAAAACATGATATAACTCAAAAGCAAGCACAACTTAATGCAAATAGATGTTTGTGACATAACCTCAAAATAGAGCACTGACATGGAAAAATAGAAAAGTATGACAATCAAGGAGGCCATAAAGGCGCCCTACAATTGTAGGGACGACTGACGATACGGGCCTTAGCTTTTAATATGCCTCACCTGTCACTTTAACGGGTAGTTCTCCGACCGGTCCTCTGACGGCGACGGCGAGCTCCGCAGCGCCCCCTCCTGCCACGCCCATGTGGAACGAGCTGGGCTGGTTGACAGGAATCAGCTCTAAATGTGACAATGACAGCGTCACTCTGCTGGTGTCTGTAACAGTGCATACGAACGGACACCCTCTAACGGTTTCGCCGTTAAACTTGATGTCGATCAAGTGCGGTTTCGCTTGGTCTGGTGTGAACGAGACGAGACATCTTCCACCCCCAACGACTTGGACGTGGTTGGGCACTTCGCCTTCGTTGATCGAGATTTCCAGTTGGCCTTCGCCGGCTTGACTTGCGTCCACTGGAACAAAGAGAGGGGTGATTGTAGGCTGATACCGAAACGGAAGCAAGACGTATGGTACGGTGAAGGATGAGGAGTTTAAATGGTTTTTAGAATGAAATAGTGGTGGCATGTGAGCTGGTGGACATATTATAATAATAATAGTTATTTAATATTGAAAAATTATATTATACTAAGTGACATATGAATCCTTTACGATCGGTTACGATGCCTAGAGTACGGAGACCTGTACGATTTCGTCAACTTAGTGAGTTTGATAGGGGCCGTATAGTGGGACTTCGGAAAGCTGGACTTTCTTTTCGGGCAATTGCAGTTAGAGTGCAAAGAAGTGTAGACACTGTGGTTAGGTGTTGTCAGGCATGGCTTCGAGAAGGCCGTACGCAAAGAGCAAGGAGCACTGGACGCCGCCGTAGAACAACAGACCGTGAAGATCGCCGCCTAAGATTATTGGCCTTAAGGGACCGTTTCTCCACTACCAGGTCCATTGCAAATGAATGGTTTGCAGAACACGGAAGACCTATTGGCATGCGAAGTGTTTATCGACGAATGAGAAGTTTTGGCTTGTTTTCATACCGGCCACACTGGGTCCTCCCTTTAACTCGAGAACACCGACGTAATCGCCTTGAGTGGTGCAGACAACGGTCACTCTGGGATCAGGAATGGAACAGTATTATCTTTAGTGACGAGTCTCGATTTTTTTTAGGCATGCACGATGGTCGTGCCAGGGTTAGAAGGCGACGTGGTGAAAGGAGGAATCCACAGTTTTTTGTTGAAAGACATGTTCATCACACTGTTGGAGTTATGGTTTGGGGTGCTATAGCTTATGGTTCCAGGTCACCTTTAATCTTTATCAGAGGTAACATGAACGCGCAGCGTTATATCCACGAAGTTCTAGAACCCCATCTTTTAACCTATCTTGACACCCTGGCAGATCCAACTTTCCAACAAGATAATGCCCGACCACATATTGCAAGAGTCACAATAGACTTCTTTCAACATAATGATGTCACATTGTTACCATGGCCACCAAGATCTCCCGACTTATCCCCAATTGAGCACGTGTGGGATATGATGGGTAGGAGATTGCTCAATTTGCAACGTCCTCCTCAGACTCTAGAAGCACTTTGAGAGGACTTGGTGGTTGCCTGGAATGAGATACCACAGGAGGACATTGACCACCTGATCAGAAGCATGCCTAGGCGCGTTGGAGAATGCGTAGCACATCAGGGTCCATCCACACATTATTAAAGGTCGAAGGGCTTTAAAGCAGTGCAATCATTTTGAATTTTTTATCATTTACTTATTATGCTTCATTAAGTACTTATACAAAATTTTATTAAAATAAAACCATTTAAACTGGGTGTTCGGATTTATATGTCACTTAGTATATTATAATAATAATAGTTATTTAATATTGAAAAATTATATTATTCAATATAATAAATTATCGATGTGAAATCTGAACTTTGAAATTAGTATGCTATGCTGAGTAATCAAATAGCGGTCAATTGAATTTTGTGATTTGATTTAAGACTTGTGAACTTGGTGGTTGTTTAGAAGTTCTTTTTAATACTATAAAGTAAAAAATGTCCGAAGAAAATGATTCCGAGTTTCCGTTGACTCCACCTGAATCAGTAGAAGTAGCCAAAGTAGCGTTATAAAAATTATTGCCAGCTAAATCGCGAAAAATTTACGAAACCGCGTATTCAAGATTCATGGAGTGGAAGATGGAAAAAACACGCAGTTCTTTGTTGGATTTTTGGCTTATTTTTCGGAATTGGCACCACAACAAAAGCTATCAACAGTGCGGTCGAATTATTCAATGATCGAAAGTATGTTACGATCCAATAATAATATAGACATTTCAAAATATTTCAAACTAATTACATTTCTGCAAAAAAATGGGAAAGATTACAAGCCCAAGAAAGCTGCGATTTTTACGAGTACACAAATTGGTGATTTTTTAAATGATGCTCCCGATGAGGTTTATTTAATGGCCAAGGCTGTTGCTGTATTTGGGATTGCAGGAGCTTAACGAATTTGTGAAATCAGCCAGGTAACATTAGATGATATTGAAGATTCGGGAACGTTATTAATTGTGAAGAGAAATAACTGATAAAGTGTTTAGAACGTGTGGTAGTGCTGAATTAACACCGCATTTGCGACCAAGTACATCAACGGGAGTTGTGACGGCAGAAAAACATATAGTTTCAACACAAGAAAATTCGACTGTTGTACCGAATAGTTTAAGGAACGTGTCATTCATACAATGCACATTTAATAATTGTACTTTTGATATAAATGAAATGTAACATTTACTGGCAGCTCATTTTTTTTTTTGAAAAAAGCTCAGACCCGTCGATTTTGTTTTCGAGGGGGACACAAGTTTGGCAAAAAATCACGTTAGCAGGTGCAGCCCCCTAAGCGGGGTTGACACCACCCCCAAAATCTTAAATGGAAAGGGGGGTCGAGTGATACCTTATTTTAAAGGTCTTTCAATTCCCTTTATAATGATATAAAATTAATATACGTCAGTTCAGTAGTTTTGTCGTTTTATCGATTTAAAGCTAAAATAAAACTAATACAACAGAGATAAAATGTCAAACTTTTGTTTCATTACAATAATAATTCTAATGAATAAAACGAAACTTGAAATGAAATGAAGCTTTCTCAATGCCGAGTTTTTCCAGAGATAGACGAATTAATATGAATTTTCGCAAAACCGTTTCTATTTTTTTCGGACTTCATTCAAGATGGGATTTCAAAATACAGGACGCATCAACATTGCCACTTATTTCTATTCTACAAGCTTTTATAGTTAGAATTTCAATATAACGTTTTGGTCTCTTATCCTCCAGCATTAAAAACTGGATTTCACGTTTAAAGATCAACGTTTCCAATGAAAAATCCGTTTTTTTTAAATAAAAATTTCATGTGCCCGAAAAAAATATGGGAACCTTATTTTTGAAACAACCCTCGTAGTTTAACTTACCCAATATATACTAAGTGACATATAAATCCGAACACCCAGTTTAAATGGCTTTATTTTAATAAAAGTTGGTGAATGTATTTATCTTACTGTAAATAACAAGTGAAAAAATTTTCAGCCTTATAAGTTGGACATTCCGGTTTTTATACTGCTTTTTTTTTAATTCACTAACGCTCTAAAAATGAATATTTCAGCCGCAGTATAGAATCAACGTTGGCGGATTTTGGTTCTTGACATCCTTTACGATCGATTACGATGCCTAGAGTACGGAGACCTGTACGATGTCGTCAACTTAGTGAGTTTGATAGGGGCCGTATGATGGGACTTCGGGAAGCTGGACTTTCTTTTCGGGCAATTGCAGTTAGAGTGCAAAGAAGTGTACACACTGTGGTTAGGTGTTGTCAGGCATGGCTTCAAGAAGGCCGTACGCAAAGAGCAAGGGGCACTGGACGCCGCCGTAGAACAACAGACCGTGAAGATCGCCGCCTACCTAAGATTATTGGCCTTAAGGGACCGTTTCTCCACCACCAGGTCCATTGCAAATGAATGGTTTGCAGAACACGGAAGACCTATTCGCATGCGAAGTGTTTACCGATGAATGAGAAGTTTTGGCTTGTTTTCATACCGGCCACACTGGGTCCTCCCTTTCGAACTCGAGAACACCGACGTAATCGCCTTGAGTGGTGCAGACAACGGTCACTCTGGGATCAGGAATGGAACAGTATTGTCTTTAGTGACGAGTCTCGATTTTGTTTAGGCATGCACAATGGTCGTGCCATGGTTAGAAGGCGACGTGGTGAAAGGAGGAATCCACAGTTTTTTGTTCATCACACTGTTGGAGTTATGGTTTGGGGTGCTATAGTTTATGGTTCCAGGTCACCTTTAATCTTCATCAAAGGTAACATGAACGCGCAGCGTTATATCCACGAAGTTCTAGAACCCCATCTTTTACCCTATCTTGACACCCTGGCAGCTCTAACTTTCCAACAAGATAATGCCCGACCACATGTTGCGAGAGTCACAATAGACTTCTTTCAACATAATGATGTCACATTGTTACCATGGCCACCAAGATCTCCCGACTTATCCCCAATTGAGCACGTGTGGGATATGATGGGTAGGAGATTGCTCAATTTGCAACGTCCTCCTCAGAGTCTAGAAGCATTTCGAGAGGAGTTGGTGGTTGCCTGGAATGAGATACCACAGGAGGACATTGACCACCTGATCAGAAGCATGCCTAGGCGCGTTGGAGAATGCGTAGCACATCAGGGTGCATCCACACATTATTAAAGGTCAAACGGCTTTAAAGCAGTGCAATCATTTTGAAATTTTTATCATTTACTTATTATGCTTCATTAAGTAATTTTATTAAAATAAAACCATTTAAACTGGGTGTTTGGATTTATATGTCACTTAGTATACATATAAAAGTACAATCTATTGATGCTATTTAAGGGTAGTATAGGAATCATTAAGATCGGAATAACTTTATGTAACTGATGGAAACATTGTAGAGTATATAAAAGTCTCGAAAATGTTTTAACTCCCTAAACACATTTTATATCCTCCATATCTAAACCGATGCACATTTTTAGAATGTCATTTAAACAGGCTTCCCAAAAACTGAAGCACTGATGATTTAGTAGGGTAACATGTGATAAACTTTCATTTTCAACGACAATTATGAAAACATTATTTTTTTCTTAAATTGTGAATGTAGAATATGTCAAAATTTGAAATCAGAATAAAAAAACTCTATTCATTTGTACAAAAATGCAACATGGCGTCTATAAGAAAAAATATACTTGATGATTGAGGACAAGAGACGCAACATCAAATTGAAGTTCTAATTATGCGATCTTCAAGAGGCAATGTTAATGCACTTCTTATTTCGGAGTCGCATCTCAAATAAAGCAATTTGAGGGAAAATCGGTATTTCTCATTGATCTCCGAAAATGCTCGGAATAACAAAAGTTTCTGAGAGCAATTTTCTTTGCACTTTTGTCCAAATTTAACCGACTTCGTATCTCTCAGTGTAGATTCACGTGAAAACTAGTGGCTAAATAATTATTTCATTTCATAAGACACTCGAGTAATGAACGTCGTTTCTTGACTGGATACTACAAAGAATAATTCATTATTTACGCAATGCGACAGGATTTCCAAGAAGATTGCTAAGATCAGCGTAGGCAACGTTTCAAAACAGTTAAATTTGAATTTAACGATGCTTTACTGCTTTAAAGTTGCTCGTACCGTTTTCTAGCCTTGGAATATTTTCAGTACAGTATGCATGCCGTTGAAAGTAATATGTTAAAAGTCAACTTGTAGCAATTCACTTTTTTGTTATTTGTTCATTGACATTGCTTATTCACGGTACAACAAGTATATGCGACAACTAATGCTTTTGAAAGCCAAAGGGATGTATTCGTCAAACGAAAAAAATTACCACTGAAAGTACTGGTTCATTTGCAATCCGATGGAGAAATAACGTATTATCTAAAAGTCAAATTACTTCCTTATGTCAATCAAACAGAAATCTTGCAAAACCACATCCGTTACAAAACAGAAAAAAATATACTTACAGGAAGACAGCTGCGCACAGAATGATGGAGATTTCAAGAATAGAAGGTTACATTTGGACGCGGTTTTTAATTTAGATAATTAGGTGTATTAAAAGTATACGCTTGGAAGACTGCACCTATTAGTCAGACAAAATTTAGCTTGTGCTATAGAAGAAAGTTGGTTGTATCTAATAAGAGTGAATGCTGATTTTGATGTGGTTAATAATGTCATTAAGAGCGTCTTCGCTATTCGGTGACATGATAGAAAGCTATGTAGCACAAAAAGCTGCATTTTAGTTTTCAGAGTTTTTCGACGTAGTAGTCAAACCTTCTGATAGTCAAGATTTATAGGGCCCGGTCGGCAATATGGTCAGTGGTATGATCGCTGACAGACGGGGAATAGTGCGCACTGTAACTGTTTTGCGAATAACATAAATTACTGCAATTATTGACAAATAAAATACGGCAATGGAAACTTTGGGGCAAATTGAAGCAATTGAATGTATACTTTATCTGAAGTCACTTGAAACACTGTGAAATACCGGGTGCGTTTTATATATCTATATTTAACACGCTCTGTTGCTGCAAAAATCGCCAAATTTCGCAGCAAATATCCCCCGTATAAGAGATCAAAGGCAGTTTCACCGGTCCACGTGGAGTAAAGCACGCCTATGCGTGGACATAGCCAATGAGAAAGCGTGTATTTCAGAGCTCCGAACAAGTGCAGGTGGCTACTGAAAATTGAAACAGTTTAGCCAGTGCCGTGTAGCGGTGAATAAACGTGTTTTCGTTAGTCTGTCCGTGTTTTTTCATAGATTTTATTAGTTTGTGTGTTTTTGACTTTTGAGTGCTCAGTTTACTTGTTGATTTAATTGTTGTGTTGATTGTTCTTGTGTGTCCTAAATATGGCTCTTTGGAGACCTTGAGAAAATGCTCCAAGCCACGAGGAGATGGTTGATGAACCTGTGCAGGCAGAATTATTTCATAAAGATTTAGAGGAACAGACCCAAAGAGTAATCCTAAATATGTATGATTGTCTGAAAAACGAAAATCCAGATTCCTCGCAAAATCAAATTTTAAACAGAATTTGTATCCTGACAAAAATCAGTCGGGTTATAAAAAGGGGAGATGTAGTCAACCATTCCTTCCACAGAAAGCGCATAGGGCAAAAATTAAAAAGAATAGACGTGGGTTTTCAGGAAGATATTCGTCGTATAATATACGGATTTTATAAAGAAAATTTGGTGCCCACGTTGGAAATCATACGGGATAAATTAAAAGATTATACTGAAGATTTTTATAATTACAAATGCTTAGACTCACTGTACTGTATTGTAAAACTGTGTGGTTTTCAATACAAAAAATTAGATAAAAGAATGGTGATTATGGAGTCGTCACGAATCGTTGAATTGCGCCAAGAATTTTTGCACAAAGTTAAAATCTATAGAGAGCAGAAAAGAAATCTGATTTACCTGGATGAAACGTGGTATGATACCCATGATGTTGTGCAGTACGGCTGGGTTGTCGACAGCAACAAGTGCATTTTAAATGCACCATGCAACCGTGGAAAACGAATCATTATTCTCCATGCTGGCAGTGAAAATGGATTTATACCTAATGCCTTGCTGTTATCTGCCAAAAATATCAAAGAATCATGTGCCGACTATCATGAGGACATGACCTCCGACTTATTTGAAAAGTGGATAGAGCAGCAGTTAATACCAAACGTTTCCCCAAATTCAGTAATTATTATGGACAATGCGCCATACCATTCCCGACAGAAAAACAAAATTCCGAATACAGGCACAAAAAAACAAGACATTATTGATTTTATGAAGGATAAGGGAATGGAAATACCACAAAAATCAACCAAAGCCATATTATTGGATCTTATTAAAAGACAAAAATTTGAAAAAGAGTATGTTGTTGACAATCTGCTTCAGCAAAATGGCCATGAAGTATTACGTCTACCTCCCTATTACTGCATTTTTAACCCGATTGAGTTGGTCTGGGCTGCTTTAAAAAAAAAGTAAGAAAACATAATCAGACCCCTCAATTAAGTGAATCACTATTGGCCACAATAAGAGATGCAGTATCTCATATTGCTGCCACAGACCTATGGAAGCAGTGTTCTAGGCATATTATTGAAAAAGAAAATGAATATTGTGTTTTGCCTCCTGTAAATCCCGTTGTAATTCCTCTACAAGATGACTCTAGCGACAGCTCCAAAGGCGAGGATGATATATAAATACCTATAATGTAAGTCTTTATATATCTTTTTATATACCTACCTGCTATGTAAATATTTGAATATGTCAAACGTTGGAATTCTGTAATTTTTCCATTTCTTAACTTTCAGTCAACATAAATTAAACTCCCAATATAAGTATTTTTTATCCCAAATCAAAAAAATAAGAAGATAGTAAAATCCATTTATTGTGATATAAAAACATTATTATTATCGTTCTAAATAAATGGCCGCACGCCTATGATACGTCATGAAATTACAAAGGACGCGCCGACCAAAGGTTTTTATGCTATTTCAAGTGACTTCAGATAAAGTATACCCGGGAAATTTAAACTATACGTACCAACTGACGATCCATTTTGCATTAAGGTTGGCATTCATATTTACTAAATATATAACTGCTTTGTTTCAGTGAATAAACTATACTATTCTGGATTCTAGATAGTTGCTCTACTCATTCTGAACAGATTTGAAATTATTCTACCCGTATTCTATGCATTTATTTTACCTGGGTTCTATGGATATAGTCTCATAATTTTGGGCATATTTTAGTACCTGGTTCTATTACAGGCTTCTTAAACCTTGTATGAAGTTAAATCCCCTCTATCAAATTAAATACATAACAATGGTAAATCAGCTAAATAATGCAGGGTAACGGTGAAATACTACAGTCAGAGCTCTATTGTTTTAAATTTCTTGAGCGCCTTATTGACGGAACGGCTGTGTTTATAGTACAGTTACGATATGTCTACAGACAGCTATAATACCTTTATGGGTTTCTGATTAAGACCAGTTTACAACGCTTTGCGAGAATATATTTATAAATATGTATAACAGAAACAGAAAAAACATTATTTACAAATCACTTAAAAAACAATGTGACATTGTTTAGCAAAATACGCAGTAAAGGTCGCTTTTTAACGATAATAACCTTACAATGCATCGGTATATCTCAGGTCAACAGCCTTTGTTTAATTTTCGAAGTAATAAAAATACGTTTATTTTGCTTTCAGAATTCGAGATCTCAGAAACAATATAATTTTCCATTGGATGGGACAAGGTGAAAAGCTCGTATTTGTGTAAGAAAGTATCTGAATCGACTTTTTACTTCCCGCCTACTGGCGCGTAATCACGAAAATTTTTGAAAATTATATATAAAAAATCGCAAAGATTAGGATCCTGAGAACGAGGTGGAGATTGAGTAGGGCTTTTTTGACCTTCAACAACCGATCTGCCATTAAATTCTCAATCAAATTTATGACGAACAAACAACAAATTAACAATCAAAAGAGTGTCGGCAAACCATTAGAAAGATTCAAATTGAACCTGTAATAATTAATATTAATCATTCGGGCGATGATTCAAGTACTTCCAGCGAATAAAGAATTGTGAAAAGTATGTGCACTTTTTTCTATAAAAATAATCATTTATAATGTTAGATTATTCTAAGACTATTAAGGAAAATACGGACCTGTACAAACTCGCTTTTGGGCATGTTATGTTTTATCTAGAAAACCAGAAACCAGCTCCAAAACACATTTACTTTCTCTCGAAAACTATGCAAGATGCATGTTTTTTATTAAAAAAATGAAGTAAATAATCGTTTAAATAAATAAAAAATAGTCTCCTTGCGAGAGTTGCATAAAAAAATTCTATAATTTATGTAGGGGGTAGCACCTTTATCGAACACTTTTGATTTCTTTATAAAAGCCAAATAGTAGGACGTCTAGTCACAAGTTTTCCAAATTTCATTTAAATCGCACTATCGGTTCCAGAAACCTTTAAGAAAATATGTTGTAAAAAGAAAACCTTCTAGCGGACAAACTAAGAAGCTTATTATAACACTGGAACAACAAATTTTAGTTTTTTAATTGTATCTTATGGGAAAAGTGCACTTCTTTGTTAATTTTGGGGCGCTGAATCCAAAAATGACAATGAAATAAAAAAATTAGTTGCGTTTTAGAAAAAAAACTTTTTATTTTTAAGGATATATTAAAAAAAGTAACAAGATTCATATACTTATAAGAATCACTATATGCGCTGTCTTTTTGCTGTTCTTTTATGGATCGTTTCTGGAGCATCACTACCAAGAGTCCAACAGTAGTCTGCAAGCATGGAAGGATTCTACTTTCCCTGGTACCTTTTTTCTATTGTTGAAATATCCTGATGAAAACGTTCGCCGTGATCATCACTTACGGCTCCGCAATTGTCAGGAAAAAAGTCCAGGTGTGAGTGTAGGAAATGTATCTTAAGAGACATATTACAGCCCATCTTTGGATACGATGACAGCATATTTTTGACAAGGGTTTTATAGTTGTCAGCTTTTCTATTTTCCAAGAAATTAGTGACCACCAGACGGAAATCATTTCAAGAAGTTTTTTCAACACCTGTTACAAGTGTTTTCAAACTGTGTATCTTTCAAAATATTTCGAATCTGTGGCCCAACAAAAATACGTTCTTTAACCTTTGCCTCACTTAGTCTTGGAAATTTCTGACGCAGGTATTGAAAAGCTGACCCATCTCTATCTAATGCCTTGACAAAGTTTTTCATTAGGCCCAACTTGATATGCAGTGGTGATAATAAAATTTTTTTCGAATCTACTAACGACATATGCTGTACATTTTTTTGACCTGGCTCTAGGAATTGACGAACAGGCCAGTTTTGTCTGGTATAATGAAGTGCCTTTGCCCGACTGTCCCATTCACACAAAAAACAGCAAAACATTGTGTAGCCTAGCTGCAGCCCAAGTAAAAGTGCAACAACTTTCAAATCGCCACAAATATGCCATTGGTGCTCATCGTATTTTATGCATGTCAATAGGTACTTCATATTGTCATATGATTCTTTCATGTGAACTGCATACCCTACAGGAAGAGATGGTAAAATATTTCCAATATGCAATAACACTGTCTTTAAACTCAATGTTGAACTGTCTATAAACAATCTCCATTCTTCTGGGTTATAGTTTATATTTAAAGCCGCCAGTAAGCCGTTAATGTTACTGCAGAAAACCAAGTTATTCTCCATATTGAAAAATGGTTCTAAGTCTTTGTGGCGTTTACGAAAAACACATACCGAAACATCGTCTTCTAACAAGTTCCACTGCTGCAGTCTTGATGTCTTGTGTGAATGGGACAGTCGGGCAAAGGCACTTCATTACACCAGACAAAACTGGCCTGTTCGTCAATTCCTAGAGCCAGGTCAAAAAAATGTACAGCATATGCCATTAGTAGATTCGAAAAAAAATTATTACCACCACTGCATATCAAGTTGGGCCTAATGAAAAACTTTGTCAAGGCATTAGGTAGAGATGGGTCAGCTTTTCAGTACCTGCGTCAGAAATTTCCAAGACTAAGTGAGGCAAAGGTTAAAGAAGGTATTTTTTTTGGGCCACAGATTCAAAATATTTTCAAAGATACACAGTTTGAAAACACTTTAACAGGTATTGAAAAAACTGCTTGGAATGATTTCCGTCTGGTGGTCACTAATTTCTTGGGAAATAGAAAAGCTGACAAATATAAAACCCTTGCTGTCATCGTATCAAAAGATGGGCTGTAATATGTCTCTTAACATACATTTCCTACACTCACACCTGGACTTTTTTCCTGACAATTGCGGAGCCGTAAGTGATGAGCACGGCGAACGCTTTCATCGGGATATTTCAACAATGGAAAAAAGGTACCAGGGAAAGTGGAATCCTTCCTTGCTTGCAGACTACTGTTGGACTCTTGGTAGAGATGCTCCAGAAACGATCCATAAAAGAACAGCAAAAAGACAGCGCATATAGTGATTCTTATAAGTATATGAATCTTGTTACTTTTTTTAATATATCCTTAAAAATAAAAAGTTTTTTTTCTAAACCGCAACTAATTTTTTTATTCCATTGTCATTTTTGGATTCAGCGCCCCAAAATTAACAAAGAAGTGCACTTTTCCCACAAGATACAATTAAAAAACTAAAATTTGTTGTCCAGTGTAATTATTGCAGTGCTTACTCTAAATCTATCCTATTACTTAGGGCACTACATTTCAAGAAAAAAATATGGAACATTATGTAAAACGATATCAGAAACTGCCTACCTCTAAATTGCACAGGTTGTCCCACGACTCCTCCAGCTACATCAGCAACTTGTATGAGGCCAGCGTCATAAACTTTGGCCACCAGAGGGCCACAAGGTAGTTTCTCTCCCCCCGCTTCTACTTCGATCAAGTGAGTGCCCACTTCCGTCGGTACGAACTCCACCTACAACAAAACACAGGTATTGAAATTCATCTTGGGGTACCTAGAATATCTTTGTAATAAATTCATTAACACTGTGTTCTTTTTCCTGTGTTGCTTAGTATATGAAGCCTCTACTTACCCTCCATACTCCAGGCCGGGCCGTGGTGACCCTAGGCTGTCCTTTGGCGATCCGCTTTCCCCCAGGGGCTGTCACCCTGACGTCTGGCGGCGTTCCAGCTGCAGTCGGTGCATTGCAGACGATTTCGAAAATGGCCGCTCTGTGAGCGGGCACCAGCCGTGTAGACTCGCCTAGGACAGACACGGCCCCCACGCCCTCTAGCGGAGGCATGATGGACACGTGCCAGGGGCTGCCTGTAACAAGAAAGACGTCAAGTAGAACTTCGAAGAAAAGGGAGTCGTTTCAAAAAGGTAATTCGAATCGTGGTTAGGTAAGGTCACTTGGGGACGATGAATCTTCGGACTCTGCCTATCAAACTGAATAAGTGTGAGCGATATAATAGTAATAATAATATTATTTCACTCAATGTACAAAGATAACAAACAATATGAGTAAATAAATATGAGATCAAAACAGGTACAATAGAAGGCATCGCCTGTACATGGACCAATAATTTTAAGTTGCAACTGTAGAATGCAAATGACAAAAAAGGACAAAAATTAGCTACAGTAGGTTATATATTTACTTGATGTTCGTATTTATGAGTTTATGAATTTCAGTCCTAGATATAGAATGTAGCCACTTTTTTAAATTTCCGAAACGTAAATCTTTTAAGTCTTTAGGTATAATTTCATAAAATTTAGGCGCTAAATAGAGATATGATCGCTGCATTATAGATTTATGCGGCTGAGGAACTACTGTGCCATGAATTTTGTACCTTGTATAATGATTATGTTTAATTTTTTGGTCGGTGTTTACAAATTTATGGTAGTGAGTGATACTGTGTAAGAAATAAAGCTGTCTTATATCATACATTCGAACATCATATTAAATATCATTTTTAGAATACTTTATATTACATTATAGATATGTGAGGAACATGCAGCTCCCCATGTTAATATACCATATGTGAGATGAGGCTCAATCAGTGCATGGTATAATGTTCGAAGATATTTTTCTGTCAATATATTCTCAAGGTATTTAATTTTGATTTGATACAAATCTAACTTTCTTTAAAATATAATTGACATGGATTTCCCATCGTAAGTGAGGATCCAAGACCACTCCAAGGTATTTTATGTTGGGCACTCTATTAATTTGCATTTTTTGATCATTAATGTTGAAGGAGAAATTTGTGTAATCTGGCGGATGTCTAGCATAAGATCCAAATGGTAAAAAATGTGTTTTAGAATAGTTAATGCTTAATTTTCTACTGTTAAACCACCGAATAATTTTGATAAAATCATTTTCAATTACATTTTTCCGATCAGACCAATCAGTGCCTTCATATAATATTGCAGTATCATCTGCAAAACTGGTTATTTTGTCAACACAATTAATTTGGAAAATATCATTTAAATATATACTAAGTAACATATAAATCCGAACTCCCAGTTTAAATGGTTTTATTTCAATAAAATTTTGTATAAGTACTTAATGAAGCATAATAAGTAAATGATAAAAATTTCAAAATGATTGCACTGCTTTAAAGCCCTTTGACCTTTAATAATGTGTGGATGCACCCTGATGTGCTACGCATTCTCCAACGCGCCTAAGCATGCTTCTGATCAGGTGGTCAATGTCCTCCTGTGGTATCTCATTCCAGGCAACCACCAACTCCTCTCGAAGTGCTTCTAGAGTCTGAGGAGGACGTTGCAAATTGAGCAATCTCCTACCCATCATATCTCACACGTGCTCAATTGGGGATAAGTCGGGAGATCTTGGTGGCCATGGTAACAATGTGACATCATTATGCTAAAAGAAGTCTATTGTGACTCTTGCAACATGTGGTCGGGCATTATCTTGTTGGAAAGTTGGATCTGCCAGGGTGTCAAGATAGGGTAAAAGATGGGGCTCTAGAACTTCGTGGATATAACGCTGCACGTTCATGTTACCTCTGATGAAGATTAAAGGTGACCTGGAACCATAAGCTATAGCACCCCAAACCATAACTCCAACAGTGTGATGAACATGTCTTTCAACAAAAAACTGTGAATTCCTCCTTTCACCACGTCGCCTTCTAACCCTGGCACGACCATCGTGCATGCCTAAACAAAATCAAGACTCGTCACTAAAGACAATACTGTTCCATTCCTGATCCCAGAGTGACCGTTGTCTGCACCACTCAAAGCGTTTACGTCGGTGTTCTCGAGTTAAAGGGAGGACCCAGTGTGGCCGGTATGAAAACAAGCCAAAACTTCTCATTCGTCGGTAAACACTTCGCATGCCAATAGATCTTCCGTGTTCTGCAAACCATTCATTTGCAATGGACCTGGTAGTGGAGAAACGGTCCCTTAAGGCCAATAATCTTAGGCGGCGATCTTCACGGTCTGTTGTTCTACGGCGGCGTCCAGTGCCCCTTGCTCTTTGCGTACGGCCTTCTCGAAGCCATGCCTGACAACACCTAACCACAGTGTCTACACTTCTTTGCACTCTAACTGCAATTGCCCGAAAAGAATGTCCAGCTTCCCGAAGTCCCACTATACGGCCCCTATCAAACTCACTAAGTTGACGAAATCATACAGGTCTCCGTACTCTAGGCATCGTAACCGATCGTAAAGGATGTCAAGAACCAAAATCCGCCAACGTTGATTCTTTACTGCGGCTGAAATATTCATTTTTAGAGCGTTAGTGAATTAAAAAAAAGCAGTATAAAAACCGGAATGTCCAACTGATAAAGCTGAAAATTTTTTCACTTGTTATTTACAGTAAAATAAATACATTCACCAACTTTTATTAAAATAAAACCATTTGAACTGGGTGTTCGGATTTATATGTCACTTAGTATATTTTGTTCATATTAGCTTTGGGTTTCTCAATTAATCATAAATGACTTTTTTCTCTAGTTTTTTTTCAGCATGGATAAAAATGTTTTTCCTATAAATGATCATTGATTCCTTAAGCACAGCATCGTCTTTATGGCCTCCTTGATTTTCAGAGTTTTCTACTGTTCCGTGTCAGCGATCTATTTTGAGGTTATGTCACAAATATCTATTTGCATCAAATTGTTCATGCTTTTGATTTCAATCATGTGTTATATCAGTCTGAAAATTTCCTACAATTCAAACAGAAAACAACATCAGGAATCTAGAAATCAAGGAGGCCGCAAAGGCGTCCTACAATTACTGTAGGACGCCTTTTTCAAAACTACCTACCGTGTTGTTTTTTTCCATATGCAAAACTTAAAAGACATCCCTCGTATATCAAGCTGTTTGGTCTCTAGCCCGCGAAATAGATTTTTTGTCCACATACGTACGGGCGAAAGCCATAACCGGGTAAAAATTGTCGGACTCGCCCATAATTTGATCATTTTCACCGTAAGATTATCTAATATGATCTGAAACCTGATATCAAGCCTATGCTGTGTTGCGTAACGGTACATTGACGGCAAATCTGAATGCATTTTCTAGAAGGCTTGTACAACGTTGCTGTCCGATTCTAGCTAGCCATGATCCGTGGAGCAGAGAAATCATAATTATAGTCATTTTGTTTTTATTGCAGCAGACTTCATTCCGGCACGTAAATATGAAAAATAAACGTTCAATGATTAGTTTTTTTGGCGAGGACAAGATTTATAACGTGTACATAGGTGACTTGATCAGGAATAAGACAAATATTTATGATTAGCTTCAGCTTTCGAACGAATATATTCTTGGAACGTTGACACTTTCCCCTGTTGCTAGTTTTACGTAACGAACATGGGAATTTTGGTCGGCGAACTTTGGTTTCCTATATTTATATTAGAAGGGTCCTTCGTTATTTTTGTTATTAAACGGATTAGGTTAGCAAGCTGACACAATTACAGCAAACGCTCGATAACGTAAACACGGGATAATGAAAACTTGCGCTAATGTAAACACAAACTTCGTTCTATAGGATCAAACGGAACGCGCGATAACGTAAACAACGTGTACGCTCGATAACGTAAACAACTCTCGACGCACGGAAACAGCGCGACGGTAAAATGCTGAAGGCTCGATGATTTATGTCGGGCGTCGGGGAGTCCCCGATTTATGATGTAGAGTGTAGGGGATTCACCTCTGCGATAAAATACGACAAGCTCGGTCAGTCGTATGATCGTTTAGGATACGTTTATAGGTACGTATGTATTTCATTTTTGAACTTAAGTGAATACATTGCACGCGTTAATATATTTTACGACTATGCCATCCACATCCTATAAAAGAAAGTGTTTAAAGTTGAGTGAGAAAGTTTAAAATCATAGACAAAGTTGCACTAGGTGCAACAAGCAACAATCTGTAAAATTAACCGTATGAAAACTCAAATTTTACAAAGAACGTGCAATACATTTGGAGGTCCGGGAAAAAGCAAAACTTTAAAAAATTTAAAAAATGCGAAGGCACCTAAAATGGAAAATTCCCTGTATAAGCGGTTTTTAAAACAACGGGAAAATCATGTCCCAGTTAGTGGCGAAGTACTTAAACAGAGAGCGAGACTGTTAAATGAAAAACTGAAAATTTCGTAGCTAGTGATGGCTGGTTACAACGATTCAAAACAAGATATGGAATTCGACTGCTGTCTATATCTGGTGAAAAATTATCAGCACATCCACAATTAGTGCAACCATTCAAAGAAAAATTGATGAAAACAATTACCGAGCTAGATTTAAGAATGGAACAAATTTACAACGCACATGAAAGTGGCCTTTATTGGAAAATGTTACCAGAGAAAACCTATGCTGCATCATTTGAAAAATCTGGCCCGGGAAGAAAGCCGGAGAAACAACGAATAACGTTTCTAGCTTGCACTAATGCTAATGGTTCACACAAAATAAAACCACTGGTAATTAGGAAAGCAAAAAATCCGCGCTCATTTAAAAATGTTAATATCCCTGTTGATTATGACTGTTCAAAAACCGCTTGGATGACTAGCAGTATATTCCTGAAATGGTTCCACAGGTGCTTTGTCCCTCAGGTATGACAATCAATTATCACAAATGCTCTATTCATAATTTGAAGCTGTGTTTTCAATTTGTAGGTAAAAGGTTTCCTAAAACAACAGAAGCTTCCAATAAAAGCGTTGTTACTATTCGATAATGCACCAAGTCATCCTCCCGAGCAACAACTGAGGAGCAGGGATGGGTCAATTTTCGTCATGTACATGCCGCCCAACGTAACACCGTTAATTCAACCGATGGACCAGAATATAATAAGACGCACCAAACTATACTATAGGAAGTTTCTACTTTCGTCTGTCTTATCAAAGAATCCTGAAAACTTATCTGAGGCTTTAAAAAAAGTAACATTACGAGAAGCTGTTTTAGATTTACATATGGCCTGGAATGAACTTAACCAGCAAACTATTCAAAAATGTTGGAACAATCTCTTTTGTACCAATAATGAAGATGATGAAGAAGACGATGTCCCCTTAATCGTTATTAAAGAACGTTTGCTATCCAATAATGATAATGTTATTACCGTGTCATTGGATGTTGTTGATTTATTGAAAACAGTGAATCCCAACATTGTTTGTACTCCTGCTGACATTAATTTATGGAACGAAGATAAGCAAACGAATGATGCTGATAAGGAGGGGGATATGGACAGTGAGGATGATGAGAACGATCCCATTGAAGTCAGAAGTGTAGTGACTGACGCGCAAGCTATACAAGTTTTTAACCAAGCCTTAGATTGGGCTGAAAGAAAAGAAGTTTCATACACGGATATTTTAGTTCTTCGTAAATTACGGGCGCAGGCATTGGAAGACAATGCTAAGCGCAAATTTACGCAGACAAAAATTGTTAATTATTTTTCTTCTAATTAAAAAAATACTTATCGCTGTTAGAATATTTGTTTATTTTGTTATAAATAGTATGTATTAAACGTTTCTTTTAATAAATCAAATATTATATAAATCACGTTCTCTAATGTAAACATTTCGATAATGTGAACCACACTTGGATTAAATTAGTTTACATTATCGAGCGTCTGCTGTATATCATTGTTTTCATTCGATTTTTTCACATCTTTAAAAGACCATTGTGAATTTTCGATAAGACGATTACGCTTTTTCATCGAAAATTAAACGTCAAGATTCAAATACTCTCCAAACATTCAAAAGCAATACTTCAAAAATCCCCTTCGTATCTCTTCAGCCACAAGAGAACAAATTTTTTCTAGGTTCAAATTTGAAGCAGCTCAAATCCTATGTGCCCCTACGATGCCGCCATCTTTGAACGTTTTACATGACAATTTTTTATTACCCAACTTCTTGCAATATTACTTTTTCTTCCACAAAAACAACATGACAAAAAAATGACTTTTTTATTATATTACAGTGGTGCTTTATACCTTAAGCTTCATGGCTTGATTAGCGTAAACTCAGTCGTACACATCACTGTTTGCAGAATTATTCAGAACTGCCAAAACTTTTGTCTTAAGAGAAAAAAGCAGTATTAATTTGATCATTACTTATTTTCCATCTTATCACAGAAATAGAAACAATACCGGCAACGTTGCCCCCGCAAGACACAGCGTCGAGTCTGTTTTGTACTGAGAAAACGTTATAATCGACCAATTGTGTACTTGTCATTTTCGTCGCGACCGTTCGGATTTGCAGAACACCTGTTTTGTTTTGCCCCGAGCCGCCACTGGTTGGTAGTCTCACTGCCTGAGAACCTCGGAGTCGACCTACTTGACGCTATCGATTGTTCAATCTCTTCGTATCCGGCCGAAGAACAAATATCAATCGGAATATTCTCACACGTGCACACTGAAAGTAGAAGTAGTACCAAAGTTCGCATACAAATAAGAGAAAAGCAATCGCATTGACCTCGCTGTCTACAGCATTCCACAGATCGCGGAAGGTATACCACCAACAATACAGGGTGACCCAAAAACAGCGGTAGGAGATGTGTTCAAAAGTAATACAAAGAGTTCACACACATATATGCCGCAAAATTTTAACAAATACAAAACAATATCAAGTTGCTTTTCGAAAAAAAAGTTTGTTTACTTACTTTACTGTCAGTTGACTTTTATTTATTTTGAAGTTTTCGCTTTAAGATTTCGTATAAATTAGAAATAGGTAAAAGTAAAAGTTCGTTGGGCGAGTAGCCAAAGCTGAAATCTGCCGAATATTACAGAATGAAAACGCACAGAGCTCAGAGAGATTGGCGAGAAGAGCGAAAAGTCAGGTTGGAATGTCAACAAGTAGACTGACTCGTCAATGCAGATCTCTAAGAATACGACATCGTTGGAATTGAGGAGCAATGATCTTAAATATCGGAAGAAGAAATACTATCAAGCGCAACCTTCGAATACCAAGATGCTGTCATCAACTAGCAGGTACACTTTTGCAATGGAAATATACTAAGTGACATATAAATCCGAACACCCAGTTTAAATGGTTTTATTTTAATAAAATTTTGTGTAAGTACTTAATGAAGCATAATACGTTAATGATAAAAATTTCAAAATGATTGCACTGCTTTAAAACCCTTTGACCTTTAATAATGTGTGGATGCACCCTGATGTGCTACGCATTCTCCAACGCGCCTAGGCATGCTTCTGATCAGGTGTTCAATGTCCTTCTGTTGTATCTCATTCCAGGCAACCACCAACTCCTCTCGAAGTGCTTCTAGAGTCTGAGGAGGACGTTGCAAATTGAGCAATCTCCTACCCATCATATCCCACACGTGCTCAATTGGGGATAAGTCGGGAGATCTTGGTGGCCAGGGTAACAATGTGACATCATTATGTTGAAAGAAGTCTATTGTGACTCTTGCAACATGTGGTCGGGCATTATCTTGTTGGAAAGTTGGATCTGCCAGGGTGTCAAGATAGGGTAAAAGATGGGGTTCTAGAACTTCGTGGATATAACGCTGAGCGTTCATGTTGCCTCTGATGAAGATTAAAGGTGACCTGGAGCCATAAGCTATAGCACCCCAAACCATAACTCCAACAGTGTGATGAACATGTCTTTCAACAAAAAACTGTGGATTCCTCCTTTCACCACGTCGCCTTCTAACCCTGGCACGACCATCGTGCATGCCTAAACAAAATCGAGACTCGTCACTAAAGACAATACTGTTCCATTCCTGATCCCAGACTGACCGTTGTCTGCACCACTCAAGGCGATTACGTCGGTGTTCTCGAGTTAAAGGGAGGACCCAGTGTGGCCGGTATAAAAACAAGCCAAAACTTCTCATTCGTCGGTAAACACTTCGCATGCCATTAGATCTTCCGTGTTCTGCAAACCATTCATTTGCAATGGACCTGGTAGTGGAGAAACGGTCCCTTAAGGCCAATAATCTTAGGCGGCGATCTTCACGGTCTGTTGTTCTACGGCGGCGTCCAGTGCCCCTTGCTCTTTGCGTACGGCCTTCTCGAAGCCATGCCTGACAACACCTAACCACAGTGTCTACACTTCTTTGCACTCTTAACTGCAATTGCCCGAAAAGAAAGTCCAGCTTCCCGAAGTCCCACTATACGGCCCCTATCAAACTCACTAAGTTGACGAAATCGTACAGGTCTCCGTACTCTAGGCATCGTAACCGATCGTAAGGGATGTCAAGAACCAAAATCCGCCAACGTTGATTCTTTACTGCGGCTGAAATATTCATTTTTAGAGCGTTAGTGAATTAAGAAAAAGCAGCATAAAAACCGGAATGTCCAACTGATAAGGCTGAAAATTTTTTCACTTGTTATTTACAGTAAGATAAATACATTCACCAACTTTTATTAAAATAAAACCATTTAAACTGGGTGTTCGGATTTATATGTCACTTAGTATATTATTATTTTAGACCATGAAAAGTATTTCACTTTGAATAATTCTGAAATGAAAGAAAACCACGGATCTTTTACGCACAACGTAGAGGAATGCCCTGACAATTTTATATACAAACATAAAGCGAAATAGGCAGATAAAATCCTTGTCTGGTGCGTAATTTCTAACAGGGGTGTATCCCAACATTTTGTGGGAAGAGTAAGAGGCGAAGCTTTGAATAGGCATATTAATATATAACTAACTGCCTAGTTGCTTCAGTTTGTCATTACTCAAGAGATAGTATAGTTTAGTTAAGCATTGAGTTGCGACTTATGATAACTAGTTAGTGCTTAAATAAATTTCTCCACTAAAAAAAATGTTTAACCAATTCATTTTTTTTTAAATATATATTTTTTAAATTCATTAATCATGTTTTGTATCATTTGGATTCTGTGTATACATGTGTGATCTGAACAAGAAAAATACACTAAGAATCCATATTAAACCAAGGCCTCAAAGACCATTTTTCTTCAATATGTTACTTGAAATAAACCTATCATAGCACCAACTGCCAGAACACCCTGTATTGCCGTTGGTCTTCGAGCCCGAGGCGTCTGTGGTACCTTCCACGTCCGACATTCCTTCTACGCGGTTCCGTACCTGATGCAGGTCACCCGCACTGCCTCGGTGCTTCTCCAAGGTACTCCCAGGACCCTATCCTATGCCTCTAGGGGCAACGCACTCCCGCACTACAGTTAAAATCCGGCCACGACTCCCGTTCGCGCAAACTCGGAACCCGACGGTCAGGTAGTACCCGCACGAACCGACGCGAGAAACGACTGAGTTCGAGCGGCGAGTCGACTACGCTGAGTAACGTGGTACCATTGGGTGATGGTTGAGTTCCAGTGGCGGAGACTCGGGAGGGCAAGCTAGTTAGTGTGGTACCACTGAAATGGAACAGATTTTTTTGGCAAAAAATTGCCGATATGAGATTTGAAGTGACAAATTCAACCAGGCTTTATTAGGAATTGTAAAAGATTGGTCCCCTCTAGGGGAATTGGAAGGTTAATATTGATCAAAATCATATTTTGAGTGTTCTCATTTTTTATGAAATAAATCTTCTCCTCGAAAGATCAAACCTGTGTCGTGATGTAATAAAGTTCTTCGACGCACTGACCTTTGAATTTTATTGTGAAATCTGCTGTCGTTTTCCATATAGCTTTTACTATCCATCAACTGATTTACATTGGAATCTAGAAAGTCTCCAACTCTTGACCAAAAGCAAGCATTTTCATCGAAAATAACATTGTTTGATGCAGATTTCAAAATAGGAGATCAAAACATTCTTTTGCGTGACAATCATCCAGAATATTTAGTACCTTTTACCTTCGAAACATAATTTTTGATACGCCTATGGGTAAAGGTGGGCGGGGAGAGGGGCGAGTACCGCGGCATTCCAGCGATGGTGATGGTAGTACTTAGCAATACCACGGTACCACTACGCCAGGTGAGGAACCAGCGACGTTGGCAAGAAGAAGTGCATAGATTATAAAAAAAAAAGTTCCTCGCCAAACTTGTTAGTGTTGGTGTCCGTGTCACGTTTCAGTTATCTCTGTAGCCTTTTTACTCATTTTGGCTATAAAATTTAAGTCATCAGAACATTGACATTTGAACTGTCCGAGAATTAATTAGTTACTAATGCATTGCCCAGGAGGTGTTTGTCAATGGAAAAGTAGTAATTTTATGGTTATTTATATATCCACCTTAATGACGACTAATTTCAAATATAAATAGCCTAGAATAACAAGCTTTTAGTTAGGAGGCCGTGGAAGTCGCAGCCGAAATCATGAGGAGTCGACCACCTGGCCAGGAGACGGATCACCCCTCCAGTCCAGAGGAAATCCGTCTGATCATCCGCAGGTTGAAGGTCAGAAAGGCGCCGGGAAGGGACGGCATCAACAATAGGATGCTGAAGAACCTTCCCACCAAAGGCATTGCTGCGCTCACCAACATCGCCAATGCCACTCTGAGACTTAACCACTTCCCGCGGCGGTGGCGGGAAGCCCAGGTTATAATGCTCACCAAGCCAGGCAAGGACCGGAAGTTGCCCCAGAACTACCGGCCCATCAGCCTGGTTTCCTCGATGGGCAAAGTAGTCGAAAATGCTATCGCCGTTCGACTAGAGAAGCAGGCAGAAGAACTGCAACTTCTCCCCTCAGAGCAATTCGGCTTCAGATCCTCCCACAACAGGGAACTCCAAGCGCTACGACTGACGGAAAACATCACCAGCGGCTTCAATCTCCAGGAGGCAACCGGTCTCGTCCTGCTGGACGTGGAACGAGCCTTCGATCGAGTTTGGCACGATGGACTCATCGCCAAAATGGAAGCCGCAGGAATCGATGCGAACATGTGCCAACTGATCCAGAGCTATCTAACACAAAGATGGTTCACAGTGAATATTGGTACATGCCATTCAACAAGACGACAGCTGGAAGCAGGCGTGCCCCAGGGGTCAGCCTTAGCCCCCCTGCTCTACAACATCTATACTCACGATGTGCCGAAGACAGCTGACACAATGCTGGCCCTATATGCAGACGACACTGCTATAGCCGCCAAGCATAGACGACCCGAGATCATCCGTAGGAGACTACAGGATGAACTGGACCACATCCAGGACTGGTGCGTGAAATGGAAAATCCGCATCAACGTCCAGAAGACGCAGGCAATCTTCATTCAACGAAGAAGGATTGCAAGACCTCTCGAAGATATCCAGTGGAGCGACAAAGTCAAATATCTGGGGATCGTATTTGACAAGTCCCTCACCTGGAAAGCCCACATATAAGCTGTCATCGCAAAGACCAGAGCAGCCATGGCTCAACTCTACCCATTACTGGGTAGACACAGCTGGATGCCGCTAGCGACCAAGCTACGGCTGATCAAGGCCATCGCCAAACCTCAGCTCGCTTACGCCTCCGCGGTCTGGGGGTACGCCGCCCCCAGCTACCGCAAGCGACTTGCTGCTCTAGAGATGAAGCTACTCCGGATCGCCACCAGTGCACCATCCTACGTAAGAAACTCAACCTTGCGTAGAGACCTGCATTGGGACACCATCCACGAGTACATGAGGAAAAAAGCGGAGAAGACCTTCGAGAAAGCTCAGGACCACCCGAACGAGCAGCTACGATTCCTCATGGACTACGATCCGGACGAGAGGCCTCGCAACCGCAGAACCAGGTACCCTAGACCAAGGTCCCAGTTGGCACCCGCTAACTGGAACCTGACTAGGAGACTAGGAGAACCCGCGGTTGCTCCCCCCCCCCCACGGCGTGGATGCAGAGGACCAGGAACCACCGGGACCAGGACCAACCAGGACCAGGACCCGCCACGACCAGGACCCACCAGGACCAGGACCCTTCAGGACCAGGACCAGGAACAACATATTGGTAAGAGGACTTGAAACTCTTGATTTTTCGAAAACAAGAGTTTCAAGAGAACCAGCAGACCCTCTATCGATGATCGCTTAACGACATCGATAGAATGTGCGAGGTAAAGGGAACCAACCCGGCGTTCCCAGAGACTGAAACACATGAGGAGACGTTGTAGCAGACCGCAGGTCACGCACAACACATGGCCTACCGAGACGCTGATGAGTCGGGCCACGCGGAGGTTTAGGGTTTAGTGGGTATTAGGTGATCTCCTCAAGACCCTGGAGTCCCACACACGCCGTAGCTCGGGCTATGGTATGGTGCGTAAATGCATTCCCTCCTCACCAAAAAAAAAAAAACAAAAAAAACTTTTAGTTAGTCATTTAACCAATTTAGGAGGAGGCAGCATTTTCCAGCGCAATACACTCTTGTCAATTTAGCTTTGAGGAAGAAAAGTGGAATCGATCATGGGCGGAGAAAGTTTGATGCGGGCATACTTATTGCAACTTGAACAACTAAACTTATTCGGCGTTCAAAAATTGAAATGCAGGGGAGGTGGCCGTGTCTGCAATGTTTCTGAAAGGCCTTGAAAATTTTCTAGCTTTAGGTTCCTCACTGTGTTGGAGTCTGGAAATAAAAGACCTAAGTGATGATAAAAATGATCTCCGACAAGCTGCACTATTGGATGCGAGAATCAAGACAATCTTGAAATTCAATTGAATTTTTAAAGAACCGTTCATTTCGGCTGGTCGGAGTCCATATCATCGTGCACTTGATTTGGCCCGTCTCGTCAAATAGCGACTACCGCTGAGAAAAAGCTAGGCTATTCAGTTAGGACTGAGTATTTTAATCGACACGATCTCCTCACTTTATACAATGCTCAGATAAATCCTAACCTCGAGTATTGCTCACATGTTTGGGGTGCTACCGCCCCGACTACATAAGCCATGCTGTTCAGATGAGGGCTGGCTGATTGTTCAATGACCATCCTCTAACGGACAGCCTCGGAAGCCTTTCGCACCAGCGATCTAGCTCTCTTTTACCGCTACAATGTTTGATTTTCTTGTCACTCTTCTGTTATTTTTTTCTTTATTGATTTATGAAATTTGTAATAGCTTTTTTACAAAATACCACCACAATAAAGGCTATTATTATTTTCTTCAAGTAGATATCATCACCCCTTCCGATGACAGCTTTTCTTGTTTCGCTGTTGTGCTGTCTAGTTCGTTTCCTTCAACGTCTGTGGTTGGCTAGCAAACACGGAGCGCAACCATGAAGAATGATAGAATGCACCAGAAGACCAGTTCGCTAGCAAGCAGCAATTTGACCTGCGTTACGTGTACAGTCTAGTGAATAGCCAGCATTTGATGCGCGTTGCAGCATAACTTGAAGAGAAACTGAAAACCAACACCGCGTTTCAAACCAAACACGGGTGGAGGATTTTTTTCGTTGGGATCGAAAATCGCTGCAGATCCGGTCGTTGACAAAAATTGGGAGTCGTACAGGGTCTCACTTTATTGATAATTTGTCTTAGGATCAATAAATGTTAATAGTAAATGGAGGCAAGTATACTGAGAGTAAAGTGATTTTTATCAATTCAACTTTATTTTGAACATAGCAACGCCAATGTAGCAAATCATCAGGGTCTATAAGCAGGGTTTTCGGATCTGAAAGGAACTCAAATTTCGAGTTGATCTCATCTGTGGGATTTTTGCATCAACTTTTGTAATAATAATAATCATCTTTTATGACCAAAACATGGCACATTACATGGACGAGAATTAGCACCTGCTATTATATAAAAAAGATGTGAAAAAGTATGGATTAAATGACAATACAAAAGATTCAGTAATGCCAATTTAGCTTTAAAAAGAAGCATACATAACAGGTTACGAAGAACTGATCAGAAATACAAAGCAAGAAAACGAAAAACTCCTACCCATCATATCCCACACGTGCTCAATTGGGGATAAGTCGGGAGATCTTGGTGGCCATGGTAACAATGTGACATCATTATGTTGAAAGAAGTCTATTGTGACTCTTGCAACATGTGGTCGGGCATTATCTTGTTGGAAAGTTGGATCTGCCAGGGTGTCAAGATAGGGTAAAAGATGGGGTTCTAGAACGTCGTGGATATAACGCTGCGCGTTCATGTTACCTCTGATGAAGATTAAAGGTGACCTGGAACCATAAGCTATAGCACCCCAAACCATAACTCCAACAGTGTGATGAACATGTCTTTCAACAAAAAACTGTGGTTTCCTCCTTTCACCACGTCGCCTTCTAACCCTGGCACGACCATCGTGCATGCCTAAACAAAATCTAGACTCGTCACTAAAGACAATACTGTTCCATTCCTGATCCCAGAGTGACCGTTGTCTGCACCACTCAAGGCGATTACGTCGGTGTTCTCGAGTTAAAGGGAGG